ACTTTCGATATTTTTGAAAGGACACTTAAAAAACTGTCAAAATCATACAGAAAATATTGAGATTTTTAAAAAGTCGCCTTAAAATTCTAAAATATAAAGTTGTCGATGATCCCGAAGCAACATTTTCGAAAATTTGGTCAGAAAATTCAATTTAATTTGGTCGGAAAATGCAATTGTTAAATTGTGTAGAAAAATTGTTGGGACTTTCGAACAAATGGAAGCCGAAAATAACTTCTACAAGTCGAAATCTACAAGAAAATACTTAGGATAATTTTTGAAAGATACTCAAAAAATGTCAAAAAATTTATACCGAAAAATTGAAATTTCCAAAGTGGCCTGAAAGTTCTCAAAAAATTCTGTAAAATCCATTTCGCCCGCTATAATTCAAAAAAATAATTTGTTGATGGTTCCGCACCAAGATTTTCGAAAAATTTGGTTTGAAAATGGGATTTTTAAAAAAATGTCTGTTTTCCGTATTTTTTGAAGGATGCTCACAAAACTGACAAAAAATTCGTACAGAAAAAATTGCGATTTGCCTGAAAATTCTCAAAAAATTCTGGAAAATACATTTAGAAGCTGCTTCTAAAAATGTAAACTTCTCGATGGTCCCGGAGCAAAATTTTCGAAAATCCAATTTTTAAAATATGTATCTAAAAAACTGCTAGTTCCAAAAATATAACTTATTGATGGTCTGAACCAAGATTTTCTTTCGAAAAATTCAGTTTAAAATCCAATTTTTAAATTGGAAAACTTTCATTTTTTATTTTATCAATTCTTGAAACATTGTTGGAACTCGAAAATAACTTCTCCAAGTCGAAATTTGCTAGAAAAACGGTACAAAAATTCATACAAAAATTGAAACTTTTTAAAAATTTCCCAAAAATCCTCAAAAAACAACTTGAAAATACATTTTGATGAGATAGCTCTAAAAATATAGTTGAAGGGAAAACTTGTCATTTTAACGATTTTAGAAAAAATGTTCCAATTTTCAAAGAAATGAAATCTGCAAGAAAATGTCTTCGGAAAATAATTAACAGTGCTCGAAAAACGGTCAACAATTCATACTTTGAAAAACTGAAAATTTCTAAAATTTACTCAAAAGTTCCCAAAAAATTATAGCAAATACATTTCGATGAGCTGATTCAAAAAACGTAATTTATGGAAAGTTTCGAACCAAGATTTACAAAAACTTCGGTCTGAATTTTTTTTTTTAATTTCTCAAGAATGAAGACGAAAATAATTTCAACCAATCGAAATCTACAACAAAATATCTTTGGGTAATTGTAGCCTGGTGCTAGCAAAAGGGTCGAAAATTCATACCGGGGAGTTTTGAAAAACTAAAAATTTTGAAAAGTTACTTAAGATCTTCAAAAAATTATGATAAATATATTTCGATAAGCTGATTCAAAAAACATTGGTTGTGGAAGGTTTTGGACCAAGATTTACAAAAAATTCAGCCTGAAAACCAATTTTTTTAAATTTCTCAAAAATTGTCATTTTGATTTTATCGATTCTGGAAAAATTGTTGGAATTTTCGAAAAAATGAAGCCGAAAATAACTTCTACAAATTGAAGTTTACATGAAAATGTTTTTGGGTAATTTTCGAAAGGTGTTTGAAATCGTCAAAAAATTCTTATTGAAAAAGTGAGAATTTTTATTTATAGTTGCCCAAAAAATCTCAAATAATTCTAGGAAATACATTTCGACGCCCGCGACCATGACTTTCGAAAAAGTATGTCTGAAAATGGTCTTTTCGAAATGTTTAGAAATACATATCTCGAAAATTATCGTCATTTTTTATTTTACCAATTATGGAAAAAATATTTTCGATAATTTTTGAAAGACTCAAAAAAATTAAACAAAAAAAAAAAAACTGAAAAAATGAAATTTTTAAAAAGTTGCCTGAAAATTCACAAAAAATTCTGTCAAATCCATTTCACAAACCAGTCCGAAAAAAATAACTTGTTTGTTCTGCACCAACACTTTCGAAAAATTTGGTTTAAAATGCGATTTTTAAAAAAATATCTAGACAACTGTAATTTTTAATTTTAACGATTCTGAAAAAAATATTGGAATTTTCGAAAAAATGAAACCGGAAATAATTTTTACGTGTTGAAATCTACAAGAAAATACGTATTTTCGGTATTTTTGAAAGGATGCTCAAAAAACTGTCAAAAAACTCATACAGAAAAAAAATTGAGATTTGTCTGAAAATTCTCAAAAAATTCTGGAAAATATATTTAGGAGCTGCTTCGAAAAATATAAACTTGTCAATGGTCCCGGAGCAAGACTTTCGAAAATTTGGCCTGAAAATGCAATTTTTAAAATATCTATAAAACTGTTAATTCTTATTTTATCGATTCTGGAAAAATCGTTGACATTTTCGAAGAAACGGAGCCGAAAATAACTTCTACAAGTCGAAATTTACATGAAAATGGCTTTAGGTAATTTTCGAAGGGTGTTTGAAAAACGTCAGGTACACATATTGAAAAAGTGAGATTTTTGAAAAATTGACTAAAAAATCCCAAAAAATTCTAGGAAAATACATTTCGATTGATTCGAAAAACGTAACTTGTTGATGGTCCATGATCATGGCTTCCGCAAAAATTCTATTTGAAAATGGAATTTTCAAGATACATATTTAAAAATATCTGCAGAATTATCGTCGTTTTTCATTCTATTAATTTGGAAAAAAAATTTTTGGAATTTTCGAAGATATGTAGCCAAAAATTACTTCAATAAGTCGAAATCTACAAGAGAATATTTTCTGTAATTTTTGAAAAATGCCCAAAAAAATGTCAAAAAATTCACACCGGAAAAATTGAGATTTTTAAAAAGTTGCCTAAAAATTATCAAAAAATTCTGTGAAATCCATTTCACAAACTAATTCGAAAAAAAATAACTTGTTGATAGTTCCGCACAAATATTTGCGAAAAATTTTGTTTGAAAATGTGATTTTTTAAAAAAATATCAACTGTAATTTTTAATTGTAACGATTCTGAAAAAATTATTGGAATTTTCGAAAAAATGAACCCGGAAATAATTTTTACATGAAAAACTATCAAGAAACTCATACCGGGAAAATAGAGTTTTTGGAAAAATCTGGAGACAACATTTCAACGAGCTAGTTCGAAAAATATAACGTGTTGATGGTTCCGGACCTAGATTTTCATTTTCGAAAAATTCGGTTTTTAAAATTCATATCTGGAAAACCGCAATTTTTTGCTCTATTGATTTTGGAAAAATTGTTCAAATTTTCGGAGAAAAAAGTCGGAAATAACTTCCACAAATTGAAATTTACATGAAAATGACTGGGTAATTTTCAAAGGATAGTCGAAAAACGGTCAAAAAATTCATACCGGGAAAGAAGAAATTGACTAGAAATCCCAAAAAAAATCTGGAAACATCGATTTTGGAAAAATTGTTGAAATTATCGAAGAGATAAGTTGGAAATAACTTCTACAGGTCAAAATTTAGATGAATGACTAGGTAATTTTCGAAGGGTGCACGAAAAACAGTCAAAAAAATTCTTAGGCTGAAAAAATTAATTTTTCGAAAAGTTGACTAAAAAACTCAAAAAATTCTAGGAAACACATTTCAACGAGTTGATTCGAAAAAATTTCAGTTGAAAGTTTCAAGTTGACCGATTTTTTACAAACATTGTGAAGTCAGTCTATAATAAACCTAAAATTTAATCGATGGCCGCTAACAAAACGTAATAATACAACTTAACCTCACTTTTTTTTAGATAAAACTAAATTAAACGTTCAGTCATCACCCGAATATAAATTAGTAAAACATGCGGTTTTCGGTACGTTTATTCAAGATAATCTTTGTATATTTGTACAACACTTCACTTTAAATCTTGAAAACATAAAAAATGTATACTTATTTTCTTAATTTACGGCCTTGGCGAAAAACATGTCGACAGTCGGTTTCATAAAGTGCACCAAAGCTTGCGTAGTAAGCCAGTGCAAGTATAAAAAAATAAACAGGTATAAGACGTCAGAATACGAAGTTTTTACACAGGTTCGGTACAATAGAAGGATTACGGCAAGAAACCATTTTAAGCCCAGTATTATTCAAAAAATGATGGATGACATTATAAAGGAACGTCAAAACTCCACTTTGGCTACATAAATCTGCAACCGAAACACATCACCGAGTGTGTAATAATTGTTGCAAAATCGGTGAAACAACCTTAAACAGATCAGATTAGAGATTATTTTCTAATCTATTAAAAACCCATTTTATCTCGTTTAGCTGTGATTTTGGGCGTGAATAAAGCCTGACTTGTTAACACTGTCATTATTTAAGTACATTGTGTACACTCTGATAAAAATTTAACACCATTAACATAACGAGGTAATGACTACCACCCGTGTAACACAAAACCCTTAATAAACGTCATGTTAGGCTAGATATTAGTTCTCGCCCCGATCCGGTGACCAGCTGAGTGTTGTAACCGCAGCTTTAAACCAAAGTGTCCAAATTAGTTCGTCCGATCCCTAGAATGTTGACTAAGAGCAAATCCGGCCCTCACATAATCAACTCCAGTTAACTCCCCCAAAAAAGCGTGAGTCCAGTGAAAAACGAGCCCAGATAATGTTAAAATAATCGCTCCTTTTATCACCTCGTAATGGCTCGTAACGTTTTCATTATAACAAATTTTACAGCCCCCCCGAGAAACGGCGAACCGCGCCGCCACTGCCCTCAGCGGCTCTCTTTTTCGCCGCCAATCCTCGTAAACCTGATTTACAAACGCGTTCGAATCTATAAAACTGGAGCATTCAACGCGAATTGTCGATTAAACCTAATATTTATTCAACATGTGTGGGTTTATTAATAGAACAGGTGTCGTCCGGCAATGTTAAGGTCAGTTCACACGAGAGCGCCCCGCAGCATCTGCTCGGAGGGTAGTTATGCTAATTGCCGCGTGCCGGAATCCGATACAAGTGTCAAAGCCACCCCAACCCTTGGTGTTTTTTTTATTTTTGTACCTTTCTTCCCCAGCGTCGGCACGGTCAGGTTCCTGGTCAGAAAAAATTCCTTGACGTTTTCGCAGCTGGCCGGCGTGGCCGTCCTTTTGGGCCGGCCCGACGTTTCGGCGCTTTTCGCGGACACCATCAGCACACACCAACACACAAACAGAGTCGCCACCGACGCGGTGTTCATCGTGGGATTTTTTCTTTCGATTGTTCTGGCGAAGAAGTTGAGATGCCGAACGCACGCGACGAGAACGCTATTCTAGGCGGTTTCTGCCGACACCGACACCACCATCGCTCGCAGACGACTGAAAGGAGAGGATCGAGGCGGCCGAGACTGAAACAAGTGACAGACGGTGCGCGCGCAGCGCACCTGAAATTTTTTTCGGGAGAGCTTGGATGCGACGCTGGCGGCATCTGACGCTCAGGTGATGCGGTGCGTCATGGGCTGAAATGGGCGAGCTTTGGCGATGGGTCCGAGTGCGTAATCCGCCCAGCGGGTGGCGGATGCGAGACGGGTTTATGGCAGGCGAGTCATAGCTTGTCAATGTGTCATGTCACGGGATTTTCGGAATAAAGGAAAAATGCCACCAAGACACTTATTCCGTCTTTCGGAACGTGCGTAAGAACGTATCAAACAAAAGTAATGTCGTAACACGTACTTATATCGTAGTAACTATAACTAAACAAGTTTTTGCTTTTGCAGAAAGATAAACATTACTACTACGCTTTGTGGAACGTAAGCAACAGCTTTAAATTGAAAATAAGTTACCAAGCATAAACAAAAGAATGTTACTGCGATATTTCTTGTTTTTGCCTGTTTTTTTTTAACCAATTTGTAACCCATTGTTGGTTTCTCTCAAATTTATCAGAGTCTTCTCATCTTTCCGTATTTCGTTTTTCCCCCACGATTTTCATCTATCCGGAGTATACCGAACAGATGGAGTTCTAAAAGTGGGTGATCTTCACGTTATGTTTCAAAATCCTAGTATTATTGGTTGAAGAATGTCGAAGTCGACTTGGGCACGACCTTTTCACACAGCGCAATAAATTATACCTATCCTTTTCTTACTTACACTTTTGTGTCGTGGAGCTGGTTTTTATTTTCGTCTACTTTTTCGTGTGTTATGTTTAATAATTTATTTATTCGATGTTTTCTGTAAATCAGACTTGATACTTTGATTTGGAATGGAAAACCAAGTCAAGTTTCTGGTTATGAACGAGATCACGATTTAGAATTGGATTTTTGGATTTTTTTTGGACTATTTTCGGATTATTTTTGGATTTTGTGGATGTACATATTGGCTTTTTTGAACTCCCTGGATTCTTCAAATTTTTTGGATTTCTTGGATTTTTTTTTTATTTGTAGGATTTATTTAGAGTTTTAGAGTTTTCGACTTTGTGGACTCTGGATTTTTGGATTTCTTGACTTTTGTGGATTTTTTGGACTTTTTGCATTTCTTTGGTTTTTTAGACTTTTTGGATATTGTAAATTCTTTGATTTTGTGTGGAGTTCCCTGTTTTTTTTTATTTTTGAGATATTTTGGATTTTTTTAAATAATTTAATTTTTTTTCAGATTTTTTGGATCCTTTTGAATATGTAATTTGATTTTTCTGAATAGTTGGATTTTATCTGGATTTTTTAAATTGTTTGATTTTTTGATATTCCAAAATTGTTTAGGTTTTTGATTTCTTTCTTATTTTTTGGATTTTGTGGAATTTTCTATATGTGTATATGTATATGTATTTATTTTTGAAATTGTTTTTTTTTAATTTCTTGGATTTTTTTAGAGTTTTTTTAGGTTTTTTTAATTTTTGAATTTTTTAATTTTATTGGATTCTTTGGGAGTTTTTGATTTTTTCGATTTTTGGATCTCTTGAATTTCTTGCATCCCTTGCGTATCTTGGATCTCCTGGATCCCTTGGATAATTTGACTCTCTTGGATCTCTTCGATCTGTTTGATCATTTCGATCTTTTGAATCTTATGAATTTTTTGAATTACTCTTTAATTTTTTGACTTTTTGGACTATACTTGAACTTTTTAGAATTTTGTACTGTGTAGACTTTGGATTTTTTGATTTTTTGGAATTTGTGTTTTTTTATTTATTTGTTTATTTTTTAGTTTTTTTTTTTGGATTTTTTGGATTTTTTTTGATTTTTGAGATTTTTTTGGACATTTTTAGATATTTGATTCTTTTAAATTTATTTGATTTTTTTGGATGGCTTGGATTATATTTGGATTTTTTAAATTGTTTCGTTTTGGATTTTATGAACTTTTCTATTTTCTGGTATTTTAAGATTTTTTAGATATCTTTAATTTTTTTAATTTTTTGGGATTTTTTTTTAATGTTTCGTATCTTTTTGGATTTTGTGAAATTTTAGTTTTTTTTGGATTTTTAATTTGTTTCTTTTTTATTTTTTGATTTGTAAGAGGGATGGATTGTTTGGCTTTTTCTATTTTTGAATTTTTCAATTTTTATTAATTCTTTGGATTTTTTCTTAATTTTTTTGACTTTTGGATCTCTTGGATCTCTCGGACTTCCTTGATCTTTGGGATTTTTTGAATTTTTTGTTTTTTTTTTAGAATTTTTTGAATTTGTAGGCTTTTTTGGACTCTTTGGACTCTTTGAACTTTTTAGAGTCTTGTGCTTTACAGATTTTATTTTTTAGAATTTTTGGATTTTGCAAATTCTTTGACTTTTTTTGGGTTTTTTGATTTTTTTTCATTTTTGAGATTTTTTGGATTGCTTGAATTTGATTTGACTTTTTGTTTGAACGCGAACGGTTTGAACTTTTTAGAGTTTTGTGCTTTCTAGACTTTTAGGATTTTTGGATTTCTTGGATTTTGTGGATTTTTTAATTTTTTTGAATTTTTTGGATTTATTGGGATTTTTAGAATATCTGGATTTTGTAAATATTTGATTACTTGATTTTATATGGATTTCTTAAATTGTCTGATTTTTGGAGTTTATGGAATTTTTGGTATTTTAAATTTTTTTAGATTTCTAGATTTGGTAATTGTGCCTATACTTGTAGACTTTTTGGATTTTTGGATCTTTGGATTTTTGGATTTTGTGGATTTTTTAATTTTTTGGATTTCTTGTGTTTTTCAGAATTTTTGGATTTTGTAACTTTTTTGAGTTTCTGGGTTTTTTTCATTTTGCGATTTTTTTAGATCATTTTTAAATTACTTGATTTTTTTGGTTGCTTGGATTTTATTTGGATATTTTAAATTGTTTGATTTTTTGAATTTTATGAACTTTTTGGCGCTTTCAAATTTTTTAGATTTTCAAAATTTTTTAAATTTTTTGGGACCTTTTGGATTTTTCGTTTCTTTTTGGGATTCGTCAATTTTTTGGACTTTTTTTAATTTCTTGGGTTTCTAAGAGGATTTTTTGGGTTTTTTAATTCTCGAATTTTTTTATTTTATGGATTCTTTGGAGATTGGATCTTTTGAACTCTTTGGACTGTTTGGACTTTTTAATGTTTTCGAGTTTCTAGCCTTTTTGGATTTCTTGGATTTTGTGGATTAGTTAATTTTTTGGACTTTTTGTATTTCTTCGGTTTTTTAAATTTTTTAAATTTTGTAAATTCATTGATTTTTTTGGGTTTTTTTGAATTTTTTTGATTTCTGAGATTTTTTAAAATTATTTGATTTTTTGGATTTTATGGAATTGTTGGATTTTTAAGTACCTATTTCAAAATTGTTTAGGTTTTTTGAATTTTCGTTTTTTGCGTTTTGTTGAATTTTAGATTTTTTTTTGATTTTTGAAATTGTTTTTTTTTATTTCTTGGATTTTTTAGAGCACTTTTTGGGTTCTTTAATTTTTGAATCTTTTAATCTTTTTGGATTCTTTGGAGGTTTCTTGATTTTTTCGATTTTTGGATCTCTTGAATTTTCTGCATCCCTTGCATCTCTTGGATCTCTTGGATCCCTTGGATATCTTGACTTTCTTGGATCTCTTGGATCTCTTTGATTATTTCGATCTTTTGAAACTTCTGGATTTTTTTAATTTTATTAGACTGTTTAGACTCTTTGGACTCTTTAAGCCTTTTAGAATTTTCGACTTTCTAGACTTTTTGGATTTTTGGATTTCTTGGATTTTGTGTATTTGTTAATTTTTTGGATTTTTGCATTTCTTTGGTTTTTCAGATTTTTTGAATTTTGTAAATTCATTATTTTTTTTTAAATGTTTGGATTTTGTAAATTCTTTGATTTTTTGGGGGTTTTTGAATTTTTTTGTTTTGAGATTTTGTGGATATTGTTAAATAATTTGATTTTTTGAATTGTTTGGATTTTATCTGAAGTTTTTAAATTGTTTGAGTTTTTTGATTTTTTGTTTTTTTATTTTAGTAATTGTTTTTTTTTGGTCCTTGGATTTTTGAAAGCACTTTTTGAGTTTTTTATTTTTTATTTTTTTTTTAATTTTTTGGGGGTTTTTGATTTTTTCGATTTTTGAATTTCTTGAATTTCTTACATCCCTTGCATCTCTTGGGTTTTTTGGATCTCTTGAATGTCTTGACTCTCTTGGATCTCTTGGATCCCTCGGATATCTTGGCTCTCTTGGATCACTTTGATCTTTTGGATCTTTTGGATTTTTTGAATTTTGAGATTTTTTAGATATTGTTAAATAATAATTAGATTTTTTGAATTGTTTGGATTTTATCTGGATTTTTTAAATTGTTTGATTTTTTGGATTTCATGAATTTGTTGGATTTTTTTGTATTTCAAAATTGTGTAGGTTTTTGATTTTTTTTTGTATTTTTGTATTTTTCGTTTTTTTGGGTTTTGTGGAATTTTAGATTTGTTTTATTATGGAAATTGTTTTTTTATTTCTTGGATTTTTAAAGCATTTTTTGAGTTTCTTAATTTTTGAATTTTTTGGATTCTTTGGAGGTTTTTGGATTTTTTTAATTTTTGGATTTTTGAATTTCTTGCAACCCTTGCATCTCTTAGATATCTTAGTTCTTTTGAATCTTTTTGATCATTTGGATCTTTTGGATTTTTTGAAATTTATTAGATTTTTTGGAGTCTTTGGACAGTTTGAACTTTTTCGAGTTTTGTGGTTTCTAGACTTTTTGGTTTTTTGGATTTTTGGATGTCTTACACTTTGGCTATTTTTAAATTTGTTGGATATTTTTGATTTCTTGGGATTTTTAGAACACCTGGATTTTGCAAATTCTGTGATTTCTTTTTGGGTTTTTTGGATTTTTGAAATTTTTCGAATTTTTTAGTTATTTGATTTTTTAAATTATTTGAATGGCTTGAATTTTATTTGGATTTTTTAAATTGTCTGATTTTTTATTTTATGGACTTGTTTGGATTTTTTAGTATTTTAAAATTTTTTAATTTCTTGAAATTTTTTAACTTTTTGGGGATTTTTTTTTAATGTTTCGCGTCTTTTTGGGTTTTGTGGATTTTCAGATTTTTTTTTAGTTTTTGAATTTTTTGGACGATTTTTGGGGTTTTTTCTATTTTTTTCTATGGATTTTTTGGAGATTTTTTATTTTTCTGATTTCTGGAATTCTTTTGATCTCGCGGATCTCTTAGATCTCCTGGATGATCTCTTGACCTCCTTGATCTTTGGCATTTTTTGAATTTTTTTAATTTTATTAATTTTTAGAATTTTTTGGATTCGTAGGTTTTTTGGATTCTTTGGACTTTTTGAACATTTTATAGGTTTAGCTTGTAGACTTTTTAAATTTCTTGGATTTTGTGGATTTTTTAATTTTTGGGATTTTTTAGATTTCTTGTTTCTTAGAATTTTTGGTTTTGTAAATTTTGTTTTTTCGGGTTTTTCGTTTTTTTGGTTTTTGAGATTTTTCGGATTATTGTTACATTATTTGATTTTGAATTGTTTGATTCTGGGGATTGTTTGGATTTTATTCGGATTTTTTAAATTGTTTGATTTTTTCGGATTGTATGCACTTTTTGGTATTTTAAACCTTTTTAGATTTTTTCAATTTTTTGGGGATTTTTTGGATTGTTCATTTCTTTTTAGATTATGTGGATTTGTTTATGATTTTATTTTTTTTTTATTTTATTGGATTCTTTAGAGACTTTTTGGATTTTTTGGATTTTTGGATCTCCTCGATCTCTTGGATCTTTTGGATTCTTTTAAATTCTTTGATTTTTTTAGTTTTTATTGATTTTTTGGAGTTTTTAGACTTTTTGAATTTTTTATATTTTTTGGGTTTTTATTTGTTTTCTTGAGGGGGAGGTACTCACAAGATTTTAGTGGATTCTCTGTATTCTTTGGTTGTATTTTGTGGTTTTTTTGTTTTTTGTTTTATTTTTTTGGGGTTTTTAGATTTTTGGGATTTTTACAATTATTTTGGATTTTTTTGACTTTCGATATTTTTGAGTTTTATGGATTTTCATCCTTTTTTTTAAATGTTTTTGTTAATTATCTGGATTTTTTAGAGATTCTTTTTAATTCTTCGACTCTTTCGCATCTCTCGGACTTTTTTGAATTCATAAAATTCTTTAATTGTTTGGGTTCTTTTAAAATTCTTTGTTTTTTTTGCGTTTTTTGTCTCTTGTGTTTTTTAATTTTTTGGATTTTTTGTTTTTATTTTAATTTTTAGGATTTTTTAAATTCTTTGATTCATTTGAGTTTTTTGGATTTTTTTGAACTTTTTGGATTAATTGAAAATTGGGCATTTTTTAGATTTGTTTTAATTCTTCGATTTTTTGGATTTTTTTGTTTGTTTTTTTTTAATTTCTTGGATTTTATGGAGGATTTTTGAGTTTGTTAATTCTTTTTTGGTTTTTTGAAGGATTTTTTGAATTTTTTGCCTGTTTTCGGATTTTGCGGTTTTTTAATGCATTAAATTCTTCAATTTTTTGGATTTTTTATTTCTTTGATTTTTTAGACTTTTCGGTATTTTTGATGTTCTCAATTTTTTAAATTTTTTGATTTTATAAATTATTGCATTTTTTGGACTTTTTAGACTTTTTGGAAATTTTATATTTTGAGGGGGGGTTGATATTTTAAATTTTTTGGATTTCTTGGATTCTTAGATTTTTGGATTTTTTGAATTTTCCTGATTTGAATATTTAGGATGTTTTCTTATTCTCACGTTCGTTTGTTTCCCTTTATCTGGTTCCGGTCGAACAACGTGCTAAAAATGATGCATGCGGCGCCATCTAGTAACGTTTAAGGTAAAGGAAAATCCACAAGTGAATTTGCGTAAAAATACGTAAGAGGGCGCCAAGAGTTAGGACTCTTTCTACGAAGGGACAATGTGTGGAAAATGCATAGATAGCATAAAAAGTACCTGATAATGATGGAAAAACTGTAAAATGTGAAAATATAAAAATGAAAAACTAAAAAACCAAAAAAACAATTCCTAAAATGCGTTCGTAATTGAAGCATTGTTGGTTGCATAAGCAAGTCTATATACTGCAGAATGTGTGACCTCATAACTTTGATTTTTAAAATAGAAATGTACTAAAATTTTGAGACGTAAATTTTGTTTAACAAAAATCTGGATCTCAGGGGTAAAACTCAAGACGGATTCATGAACCACGTGTATATATTTTGTAAAGTATTTAATAAAAATCGACACACAGGACGACACCTAGGGGCCATGAAATGTCGAAAAGCCCATAAGTCTATAGTATAGTGAATATTTTGTTGATTTTTTCAGTTTAATTCTATTAATTGTAATTTTCTATTTCAACTATAGTACGTTTGACTGCAAAACACTGTGGATGATATGTGTGCTATCCAAAAAGAAATAACCTTGACAGGGTCGATTAAGCAATAAAACTACCTTTCATGTGCGTTGTTGGCAAATCATTTAATAATAATAAGAGACAACTTCGTGTAATTCCAGGTTTACACAAGATAAAAGAAAACCACACCCAGATTCTCCACCCAGATACTTATTTACACACAAAAAAACACACAAAGCCAAGTTCAATTAATATCTGTAGTGCTCCGGCTTGTAGGGCCCCTCCACCGGCACCCCTAAGTACTTGCTCTGCTCGGGCGTCAGCTTCGTCAGCCTCACCCCCAAATGCTCCAAATGCAGCCTCGCCACCTCCTCGTCCAACACCTTCGGCAGCATGTGCACCCCCACCGCGTACTGCCCCGGCTTCGTCCACAGCTCGATCTGCGCCAAACACTGGTTAGTAAACGAGTTCGACATGACGAAAGACGGATGCCCGGTGGCGCAGCCCAAATTCACCAGCCGCCCCTCGGCCAAGACGATGACGTGGTTCCCGTTCGCCAGCTCGTAGCGGTCCACCTGCGGCTTGATGTTGGTCTTGTTCTTCGCGTTCTTCTCCAGCCAGCTCACGTCGATCTCGCAGTCGAAGTGGCCGATGTTGCACACGATGCTGTCGTTGCGCATGTTGAGGAAGTGGCGGCCGAGGATGATGTCCTTGCAGCCGGTGGTCGTGACGAAGATCTGGCCCTCTTTGCTCGCCTCGTCCATCGTGGTGACTTCGTAGCCCTCCATGGCGGCTTGGAGCGCGATGATTGGGTCGATCTCGGTGATTAGGACACGCCCACCGAATGCGCGTAGAGATTGCGCGCAGCCCTTGCCTACGTCGCCGTAGCCCGCTACGACGCAGACTTTGCCGGCCAGCATGATGTCGGTGGCGCGCTTGATGCCGTCGATGAGGGATTCGCGGCAGCCGTACAAGTTGTCGAATTTGCTCTGGAATAATATAATTATCATTTTAGTATTGTATTTGGTACTTTTAGTTGCTGGTTTTTAAATGGAGATTTTAGTGAAAAAAAATCGGTTGTTGTTGTTTTATTATTATTAGCAGAAATTTTGAAATTTTAGAACAGTATACATATTAATCAAATTGAATAATATACTGAATTATCTCTACTATTGTAGATCGCGAGATATGCACCCAAAAATAGTGTCGGTACTTAGCAGGAGGGGCATTACACTGCTCCACCTCCTCACTGCGGATTTCCATAATCCCTAAACACTTCAATAGGATAAAGTGGACAAGGACTCAAATTTTAAAATTTCCTTGGGTGATTAAAATGAAATGTATTAAAATTAACATAACGTTTATGTCTGTTTAAATGGTGAAACATGTTTCCGGTTATTTTATTGTTTTTTAATTTTCATGTTTTTTTTTTTCATTGACTTCACATTAATAATTTATTACATACTTATTAGTTCCTTTCCACATATGCAAAATCGAATGCTTTGAATTTTTGAAAACGTTTTAACGTTATCGTAAGCATGTAATAATTAATAATTAAAAAAAAAATTACCTCAAAAAATTTTGCCGAATAAATGTTATTTAAATTTTATACAATATCAAACACTTGTGGTTTATAAATCCCTGTTGAGTTCTTGTAAAATTGTATAACAATATTTATATTTCTGTAATTGTGGTTTCTGGTTCAGTTTATACCCTTGACATTCAGATTCTTGGAAAAAACAAAATTAAAATTGTATAGCAACATCGTACAATTTAACTTTGAAATTACGGAATCCAAAATCTCAAAGAATTTAAAAAATCCAGAAAAATGTGAAAAATGAAAAAGTCCAAAAAGAATTCAAAAATCTAAACAATCGAAAATATCCAAAAATACCGAAAAATTCAAGAAGACCGAAAAATTAGAAAAAATCAAAGAATTTTACAAAATCCAAGAAATTAGAAAAAATCTAGAAAATCCAAAAACCGATAAATCCAAAAAGTTCAAAAATCCAAACAATCTAAACATGCAAAAAATTTTTAAAAAAATCTAAAAAATTCAAAAATCGAAAAGATATAAAAAAATTTAACAATTCAAGACATCCAAACAAATCAAAAATAGCCAAAAACCAAAAAAAACGAAAAATCCATAAAAATCAAAAAATCAAAGAATTTAAAAAAAATGCAGAAAAATAAAAAAATCTAAAAATAACGAAAAATCCAAAAACCCAAACATTTTTTTTTAATCCAAAAAATTAAAGAATTTAAAAAAGTCAAAAAATCCCAAAGTTCCAAAAATAAAAAATCAACAAATATAAAGAATCGAAATAATCTAAAAATACGAAAAATCCAAAAAGTTTAAAAAATCCAAAAAAATAAGGAATTTAAAAATCCAAGAAATAAAAAATTGCACCCCCCCAAAACCAAAAAATCCAAAAACATGAAAAATTAAACAAATCCAAAAAGTCAGTCGAAAGTCCAAAAAAATCCATAAAAACCAAAAAGGAAAGAATCTTAAATATTAAAAAAAATATTCAAAAATCAAAGAATTTAAAAAATCCAAAAAAAATAACAATTTAAGACATCCAAACAAATCAAACATTGGCAAAATCCATAAAAACCCAAAAATCAAAGAATTTAAAAATAAATGCAGAAAAAAAAAATCCAAAAATAACAAAAAATCCAAAAACCCTACCATTTTTTTAAAAATCAAAAAATTTAAAAAAATAAAAAAATCCTAAAGATCCAAAAGGTCAATGAGATCTAAGAGTTCCAAAAATAAAAAATCGAAAAATCTAAAGAATCGAAATAATCCAAAAATACCGAAAAATCTAAAAAGTTAAAAAAATCCAAAAGTCTAACAATACAAGAAATCCAAAAAAATAAAAAACTGCACCCCCTCCAAAAAACGAAACATCCAAAAAACATGAAAAATTAAAAAAAATCCAAAAAGTCGAAATTCCAAAAAAATCCATAAAAACCAAAAAATTTAAGAATCTTAAATATAAAAAAAAATATTCAAAAAGTCAAAGAATTTAAAAAATAAGGAATTCGAAATTTTAAACAGTCCAAAAATCCAAAAAATTCAAAAAAAGTCTAAAAAATCTAAAAAAAACCCCAAAAAATTAGAAAATTTAAAAAAATCCAAAAATTCCAAAATATTAAGAAAATTCAAATGTCATAGAATTTAAAAAATCCAAAAGGTCCAAAGTCCAAAAACCCAAAAGGCAAACAATTTAAAACATCCACAAAGAATCCAAAAATCTATAGAATCGAAAAATAACGAAAAATCCAAAAAAGTCCACAGAATGCAGAGAAACAAAGCATTAAAAAAAAATCCAAAAAATTACGAAATTAAAAAGTCCAAAAAATCCAAAAATTTAATTTCAAAGAATCCAAAAAATGTAACAAATGAAGAGATCCAAAAATACCAAAAATTTGCACAAAACCCAAAAAACCGAAAAATCCAAAAAGTCTAAAAAGCTCGAAAATCCGTAAAAATAAAAAGTCAAAGATTTTAAAAAATCCAAAAAATTAAACCATCCAAAAAAATCAAAGAATTTAAAAAATTCTAAAGATTAAAAAGATCCAAGAGATCTAAGAGAACCATGAAGTCCATGAGATCCAAAAATAAAAAAAAAACACAAAAAAAAGGAATTTAAAAAATTCAAAAGTCAAACAATTCAAGAAATCCAAAAAAAATCAAAAATACCCACAAAATCTCCAAAAAACCGAAAAATAAAAAAACACTAAATTCAAGGGATTTTAGAACTAAATCAAGGAACTTAAAAAAACTCAGAAGAATCTGAATAATCAAAAAATTCAAAAATAACGAATAATCCAAAAACTAAAAAATCCAAGTACCAAAAATAAGAAATTTAAAACATTTTAAAAAGTCCAAAAATCCAAATAATCCAAAACATCAAAAAAATTCAAGAAGTCTAGAAAATCTAAAAAAAATTAAAAATCCCAAAAAACAAATAATTAAAAAAAACAGAAAAATTTGAAAAATCAAAAGATCCAAAAAAATTAGACAATTTTAAAAAATTCAAAAAAAGTCCAAATAATCCAAACAATCCAAAACACTAAAAATTCAAATGTCAAAGAATTTAAAAAATCCAAAAAATCTAACAATTCAAGAAGTCCGAAAAAAAAATATATCCCCCAAAAATCATGCAAAATAAAAAAAATCCAAAGTCTAAAAAGTCCAAAAAATTAAAACATCCAAAAAAATCAAGGAATTTAAAAAATCCAAGTACAAAAAAAAAAATAAAACATTTTAAAAAGTCCAAAAATCCAAATAATCCAAAACATCAAAAAGTCTAAATAATCTAAAAAAAAAAAATAAAAATCAAATCCCAAAAAAAAACAAAGAATTTAAAAAAAATACAGAAAAATTTGAAAAATCAAAAGATCCAAAAAAATGAGAAAATTTAAAGAAATCTTAATCCAAAACATTCAAAAAATTCAAATGTCAAAGAATTTAAAAAATCCAAAAAAATCTAACAATTCAAGAAATCCGGAAAAAACACAAAATTATCCCCCAAAAAACTGCAAAATCCAAAAATCATGCAAAATTAAAAAAATCCATAAAAAGCAAAGAATTTAAAAAATCAAAAAATCCAAAAAAATTAAAGAATTTAAAAACAATTAAAAAATTAAAGAATTTAAAAAATCCAAAAAATTAAATAATTAAAAAAAAATCCAAAATATTAAAGAATTTTAAAAGAACCGAAAAAATTAAGAATTTAAAAAATTCAAAAAATTCTAGAGATCCAAAAGAAGGAAGAGATCCAAAGGACCAAAAAAATCACAGAATTAAAAAAAAACAAAAAAATGAAGCAAAAACAAGAAATTGAAAAAATCCAAAACATCCAAAAATTCAGAAGTCCAAAGAATTTAAAAAATCTACAAAAAATCTAACAATTTAAGAAATCCAAAAAAATCAAAAATACCCAAAAAACTCCAAAAAAAAAACGAAAAATCTAAAAAATCAAAATAATCCAAAAATACGGAAAAATCCAAAAAGACCAAAAAAAATCAAAGAATAAAAAAATGTCAAAGAATTTAAAAAATCTTAACAATTCAAGAAATTCAAAAAAATCAAAATATGTACCTACAAAACGCAAAAAAAAACCGAAAAATCCAAAAGATGAAAAATTCAAAAAATACAAAAGTCGAAAGTCCAAAAAATCTATAAAAACTATTAGAAACAAAGAAAAAAAAAACAAAGAAAAAAGAACAAATCCAGAATAATCTGAAAAAGCAAAAAATCTAAAAAGAATCCAAATTTACAGAATCGAAAATTACCAAAAAGTCCAAAAAAAAAAACAAAATCAAGGAATTAAAAAAATACAAAAAGTCCAAAAATCCAAACAATCCAAAACATAAAAAAAATTCAAAAAGTCCAAAAAAATCCAAAAAATCAAAGAATTCAAAACAGAAAAATCTGAAAAATCAAAAAAACGAAAAATAATAAAAAAAAGTCCAAAAAAATCCAAAAAATCAAAGAATTTAAAGCAGAAAAATCTGAAAAATCAAAAAAAACGAAAAATAATAAAAAATTGATAAAGTCCAAAAATCCAAATGTCAAAGAAATTAAAAAATCCAAAAAAAAAATCAAGAAATAAAAAAACAAAAAATATCCCCAAAAAATTTAAAAATCCAAAAACATGCAAAATTAAAAAATCCAGAAAAATCTAAAGAATCGAAAAAATCCAAAAGTAACGAAAAATCCAAACACTCAAAAAAATAAAAAAAAATCCAAGAATTTTAACGTGATCCAAAAAATTAAAGAATTTTAAAAATCCAAAAAATCTTAAAGATCCAAGAGATCTGAGACATCTAAGACATCCACGAGATCCAAAAACGAAACATCCAAAAAACATGAAAAATTTAAAAAATCCAAAAAGTCGAAATTCCAAAAATCCATAAAAACCAAAAAATTTAAGAATCTTAAATATAAAAAAAAAATATTCAAAAAGTCAAAGAATTTAAAAAATAAGGAATTCGAAATTTTAAACAGTCCAAAAATCCAAAAAATTCAAAAAAAGTCTAAAAAATCTAAAAAAAAAAACCCAAAAAATTAGAAAATTTAAAAAAATCCAAAAAATCCAAAATATTAAGAAAATTCAAATGTTAGAATTTAAAAAATCCAAAAGGTCCAAAGTCCAAAAACCCAAAAGTCAAACAATTTAAAACATCCACAAAGAATCCAAAAATCTATAGAATCGAAAAATAACGAAAAATCCAAAAAAGTCCACAGAATGCAGAGAAACAAAGAATTTAAAAAAAAAATCCAAAAAATTACGAAATTAAAAAGTCCAAAAAATCCAAAAATTTAATTTCAAAGAATCCAAAAAATGTAACAAATCAAGAGATCCAAAAATATCAAAAATTTGCACAAAACCCAAAAAACCGAAAAATCCAAAAAGTCTAAAAAGCCCAAAAATCCATAAAAATAAAAAATCAAAGATTTTAAAAAATCCAAAAAATTAAACCATCCAAAAAATCAAAGAATTTAAAAAATTCTAAAGATTAAAAAGATCCAAGAGATCTAAAACTCAGAAGAATAAAAAAAAAATCCAAGAATTTTAACGTGATCCAAAAAATTAAAGAATTTTAAAAATCCAAAAAATCTTAAAGATCCAAGAGATCTGAGACATCTAAGACATCCACGAGATCCAAAAACCCAAAAAATTAAATTCAAGAAATCAAAAAACAATTTAAAAAATCCCAAAAAAATCTAAAAATTCATAAAATTCCAAAACACCACAAGCCCAAAAAATTTAAAAAATCTAAAAAAAATTAAAATTCCAAAAATTTTTAGTGGGAATAAACAAATATATTTTGAATAATGGTTACAATAACTTTCAAACATCTCCAAGATTTCAAAGCATGCGATTTTGCAGATTCAAAATTATATTGCAAAAGTCGTTTATGATTTTGATTTTTTCTAAAAATCTGGACGTTTCGAGTAAAAACTCAACACGGAATCATAAACTACACGTGTAGGACTATGCTATTTTATACAATTTAAAACACATTTACTGTGTACAATCCGTGTTCAATTTATACCTTTGACATTCAGATTCTTGGAAAAAGAATTAAAACTGTATAGCAACATATTACGATTTGATTTGAAATTGCAAAACTGAATGTTCTGGAATATAACAAACGTTTTAAAATAACCAGAAACATGGTAAATTTCAGATTTTAAAACTATGTTTTAAATTTTTTGAGATTTTTAAGGAAACCTTGGCTTTAATAAGAAATATTTGCTAATTCACGGACAAAAGTACATTTTAACCGCTTATTTAACTAAAACTGTTAAATGCCATCACAAAACACAAAAAAAAAACAGTTTTCTATTTATACCTGTTAATATATATGCAAACCATGAAATATAATCTTTGAACGTTATCACCACACTAATAAATAAAAATAATTACCTTTGTTACTGAGTCATTGACGTTAATCGCCGGAACCTTCAAAGTACCCTCCTTAAACATCTTATACAAATTATGAACCCCCGTCGTCGTCTCCTCACTAATCCCTTTACAGTCTTTCAAATACTGTGGATATTTAGTGTGCACTAAATTCGTAAGATCGCCTCCATCATCCAAAATCATATTAAAAGGTTTACCATCCGGGAACACCAGCGTCTGCTCGATACACCAAATGTACTCCTCGTCAGTCTCCCCCTTCCACGCAAACACAGGCACCCCTGTCTTAGCAATAGCAGCAGCTGCATGATCTTGAGTACTAAAGATGTTGCAACTTGACCATTGAACCTTCAACAATTTAAATTTCATAAGTCTTTTCACAAAGAGGTCAGAAGTTATCAGTGTCGCAACAAAGAAATGAATGAAAATAGACCCACCTCAGCCCCCAGTTCCTTCAAGGTCTCAATTAGGACTGCAGTTTGAATGGTCATGTGCAAACAGCCGGCGACTTTGGCCCCCTTTAGGGGCTTTTTTGGGCCGTAGTGTTTGCGGATGCTCATTAAGCCGGGCATTTCGTTTTCGGCCAAAGAGATTTCTTTGCGCCCCCATTCGGCCAGTTTCATATCGGCTTGAATGAATCACGATCAATAAATTTATGTTACAATAACAAAAATCAAGCTCCTTACCAACTTTAAACGATGGTTTCGACATTTTCCTGTGATGGTTTGGTTTCACCGGCAACTTATAACCTATAAATCGACACGAGTTTTTGACTGACAATTGACATTTGTTGGCGCTTTTATTACCGGTGGAATGGCTGCGCATGCGCACGTCACCGCTTGCAGGACCGTACCACAATTTTTTGTTCATTGTGTTGTGACAGGATTAATAAAAATAAAACGCTCAAGTCTTACACTTACTTTTTATTCATTTTAGTCGGTTTAATATTCACACTTTGAGTTGTTTACAGCATTGCAATACAGTTTAAAATACCTCTTTTCGTAAAAAAGAGAGCTTCCTTATTAAATAACGCGCCTAGCACGGACCTATCAGATCACAGATTTGTCGCGTGTAATTTAAACTTAAACTAATGGCAGTGTTTATTCATCCTGGCCGTCGATGGCCGCTACCGTCGAGTTATAATGCTCACCTAACCTATACAAGTGTCTATGATACGCTAAAATTAATTCTGGTCCCGTAAAATTCTCTCCCTGTATTGTCAGCGGCCCGTTGGCTTGCACTACTTTGATTGGACATTTTAGTATGTTCGAGAGCGCCCTGAGTTCCAACTGTCCCCCCCATAGCTTCGTCGTGGCTACTTCTTTGCAGTACGACTCGAAGTATTCTTCGCTCACCGCTTCGTCCGATTCGTTATACATAAAAGGCAAGAACTCGTCCTTGTTTTGGCGCATGAATTCAGCTGTGAGTTTCCTCAACCGGGGTACCGTGAACGACTCCCTACCTGTAACCTCCAACTGGTGGTTCACAGCACAATACAAACAGTTACCGTCAGCCGGAATATTATGCAACTGTAACCCAAATTGTTTCAGGACTTCCTTCATAGCGTTCAGCTCCGTCATCCGAGGTCCTTCTTTGTTCTTCTCCGCTTGCTCCTGGATCCTCTTGTCGCGCTCTCGCTCCTCTTGCGCCTTTTTGTTGCGCCTCCTTGTGGCTCTGGACACTCGAGTATTCATAGGCTCTTCAGAGACGTCCTCTTCTTCATTTACAGGCTCCTCAACGTCGTTCGACTTTTGCGAACCGAACACTTCCATTTCCGATGATTGTCGGGCTTCCAGTTCTTGTTCTAGCCGGGCTATTTCTTCGGCGACCTCTTTTTTCTTCTTTTTGTCCCCCTTCGCAACACTTTTTTTTAATGACTGGATTTTTGACTGGAGATCTTTGCGTTCTTGTTTGTGCTTCTTTATGAGTTCTTCTTCGTTCAGGTCCATGCCCAATTGCCGAAAGTGTGACTGAATTAAAATAAGGTTGTAAAGGGGTGCGTCGATTTTGTAGGTTAGAAATGTCAAAAACGGGAAGTGACAGATTTGACACTTGGGGGATAGGCAACCAACAATTCATTTATTTGCGCAAGCCCGAAAATTCAAATTATTTAACAAAAAACAATTTTCGCAATAAATACCAAACAAGATAATTCTTAAGTCGTTTAAAGCATCAGTAATCACTTAATCGCCTTAATCTTTTTTATTCAAACAAAAGTGGCAACAAAAGTATAAATATTTCAGATAAGCGTATAATTTTTTTTTGGGACAAAATAACCGATTATGTTAAATAGAGCAAATCAAGCAGAGAACGGAACCAAGTCAGCTTTATTCACCAAACTCAGAGTCAATGGAGTGTATAAATTCTACTCAGCAAGCGAATAAATAATAATATAAATAAAAAAGGGTTGATTTTACGCCTTTTCTTCCGTTGTTTCTTCCTCCTTATTCTTATTGGGATCATCCGGCTTCATCGCTGGGAACAACAAAACCTCCTTAATATTATTATTATCAGTAAGAAACATGCAAAGTCGGTCAATTCCCATGCCCCAGCCTCCAGTGGGGGGCAACCCATACTCCAAAGCCGTGCAGAAGTTCTCATCAATCAGCTGCGCCTCATCATCTCCAGCCGCTTTATCCTGAGCTTGTTCTTCAAACCTCTCCCTTTGTACCATAGGATCATTCAACTCAGTGTAAGCATTACACACTTCTTTTTTCATCACAAACAGCTCAAAACGCTCGGTTAAACCTGGAATAGACCTGTGATACTTGGCTAGGGGGCTCATGACTTGCGGATGCTCGACTATAAAAGTCGGATTAATACATTGCTCTTCTATAAACTCGCCTACCAATTTATCCAACAAACGAGCCGAAGTCCGAGGCGGCGGACACTCAATATTGTGAGCAATACAAAGATCACTTAAAAATTTATTAGCTGCGTCGGTTTGGATGTCTTCGGGGGCGGGAAATTTAACTTTTAAGATGTCTTCAAGCGTGGGGAACATTGGGACTCGTTTGAACGGTGGCGTGAAGTCGATTTCCACCTCTTCGCCGTCAGGACCATCCGGGTGGTACTTGATTTTGTAAGTACCGTAAATACTGTGAACCATTCCCGACACTAGGGACTCAGTTATGGCGATTAAGTCGTTGTAATCGGCGTACGCCATGTAGAATTCGCACGTCGTGAATTCGGGATTGTGGGTTAAATCTATTCCTTCGTTTCTAAACTGGCGGCCGATTTCGTAAACCCGGTCCAACCCTCCTACAATTAGCATTTTGTGGTATAATTCAGGCGCCACTCTCATGAATAAATCCATGTTGAGTTCGTTATGGTGGGTGATGAAGGGTTTCGCTGTCGCTCCTCCTGCAATCATATTCATCATGGGGGTCTCAATTTCCAGAAAACCAAGTTCGTCGAAAAATCGTCGCATATAAGAAATAATTTTTGATCTAATTTCGAATATCGTCCGTACGCGATTATTCAAAATTAAATCGAGATAACGCTGTCTAAATCGCGTTTCTTTATCTTTAAGACCGTAGTGTAAATGTGGTAACATATGCAGACACGGCGATAACAATTTTATCTTCGTTGGCATGACGGACAACTCCCCCTTTTTAGTTTTAGTGGGGACTCCTTCAACCCCGATTATGTCACCTCGCCGAATTTTCCCAGTGTCTTCGGCGAACTTCTCTTCATCCACGTAACTTCTGGCAGTCGCCATCACTTGCAACTTGGTTCCTTCGCCCCGCAAATCGTAGAAAATCAATTTAGCCCCGGATTCGCGGATCGCGTGGACGCGGCCAGCCACGCTCAAGCGGTCCTTCTCCACCACCTCCCCATCCTTCAAACTCGAATACTTCTCAATGAATTCCTGCAACGACGTCGAGACGTGGAATTTATGGGGGTAGGGGTGGTGCTCCCCGCCCAGCGCCTTCAAACTCGTGACCGCTTGCGTCCGTAGTTTGAAGTACTCGTTCGGACTGATTTCCTCCTCTGATTCTTTTTTTTCTTTGGGTTTTGTTTCCACTGGTTGTTGGGCGGCTTTTTCCGCCTTCTCTTTGGCTTTCTGTTCGGCCTTGAGCCGCCGCTTCAGCTCGCTATAAACACAAACGAGTGACAAATTAGTTTCGCGGTTATGTAGAGCACGTACCTTTTAGCTAATTGAGAAAATTTCGGAAATCTCGGCCGAAATATTGTGGCGAGTGATTGCAACATAATGTGAGGTTATTACACTATAACCTCGATCCGAAACGGCATTAAAGCAAGGATTTTCGGAAAAGTGGAGGAAACTTACTTCTTTGAGAGTTTTTCAGCGGTTGCATCAGCCATTTTCGGTAATTTCACTCACGTCCGGCTTAACCTGTACGACCACGTCCACGTGCAGTGGGACAATAAAATGATTTGCGCAGGCGCAGCAATTTGACGTGCAGGGTAGCCAACATAGGGTATGTCTATGACATAATTTAGGAGTGTTTAAGATTTCCTAAAAAGGAAACCAGGTCGGAGAGCAATTTTGTTAGAAGAAAATACAAAGCCTTAAAATATATAAGCATTAGCTAAAAATAATTTGTTAAATTGTTTTCATAAATACAGTTAGTTCAGTTTTTCGATACAAATTTTTTCAAATTTTCGAGTTTTAATTTTTCAAACCGAAATTTTTAATTGAATTGAAACATCAACAAATTGAGAAATCGAAGAACTGAAAAAATAAAGAAAAATTGATTGAAAAAATGTGACTTCAAAACTGAAAAATGAAACTTGAAATATCGAAAAATTTAAAAATTGAAAAATTGAGAAATTGATCAATGGGATAATTGAAAAAACAATTGAAAAGTCGAAAAATTGTAATATTGAAACCTGAAATTTGAGAAATTGAAAAATTGAAAAAACGAAAAACAAAAATTTCTATAAATTAAATAATCAAAAATACAAACATTTTTAATTTCAAAATCCAAAAATTTTAAAATGAAACTTGAATTATCAAAAATTGAAAAATCGAAAAGTGAAAAAAATTGAGAAATTGAATGGATAATTGAAAAATCGAAAAATTGTAATATTGAAACATGAAAACCCTGATTAATTAAAAATCCAGAAATTGAAAAATCGACAAAAAGAAACAATTCTGCAATTTTTCGATATAAAATTTTTCAAATTCTCGATTTTTTTCTTCATTTTTTCGGTTTGTCATCTTTTAATTGTTCAACAATAGGACAAATTTATTCAAACCGAAATTTTTAATTGAATTGAAAAATCAAAAAATTGAGAAATCGAAGAATTGAAAAAATAAAGAAAACTGGAAAAAACCGAAAAAATGTGACTTCAAAACTGAAAAATGAAACTTGAAATATCGAAAAATTTAAAAATTAAAAAATCGAAAAATGAAAAAATTGAGAAATTGAACTATGGGATAATTGCAAAAACAATTGAAAAATCTAAAAATTGTAATACTGAAACCTGAAAACTCTGATTAATTAAAAATCGAGAAATTGAAAAACGAAGCAATTCTGCAATTTTTCGATACAAAATTTTTCAAATTTTCGAGTGTTAATTTTTCATTTTCTCGATTATTCATTTTTTAATTGTTTAACAAAGGACAAATTTATTCAAACTGAACTTTTGAAAAACCGGAAAATTGTAACTTTGAAACATCAAAAAACAAAACAATTAAAAATCGAGAAATTGAAAAATCGACAATACAAAATTTTTCAAATTCTCGATTTTTTTTCTTCGTTTTCTCGATTTGTCATTTCTTAATTGTTCAACAACAGGACAAATTTATTCAAACCGAAATTTTTAATTGAATTGAAAAATCAAAAAATTGAGAAATTGAAGAATTAAAAAAACAAAGAAAACTTGAAAAAACCGAAAAAATGTGACTTAAAAACTGAAAAATGAAACTTGAAATATCGAAAAATTTAAAAATTGAAAAATCGAAAAATGAAAAAATTGAGAAATTGAACAATGGGATAATTGAAAAAACAATTGAAAAATTGAAAAATTGTAATATTGAAACCTGAAAACCCTGATTAATTAAAAATCGAGAAATTGAAAAACGAAGCAACTTTGCAATTTTTTTATACAATATTTTTCAAATTTTCGAGTTTTGATTTTTTATTTTCTCGATTTTTCATTTTTTAATTGTTCAACAAAGGACAAATTTATTCAAACTGAACTTTTGAAAAACCGGAAAATTGTAACACTGAAACATCAAAAAACAAAACAATTAAAAATCGACAAGAAGAAACAATTCTGCAATTTTTCTATATAAAATTTTTCAATTCTCGATTTTTTTCCTTCATTTTCTCGATTTGTCATTTTTTAATTGTTCAACAAAAGGACAAATTTATTCAAACCGAAATTTTTTAAATGAAACTTGAAATATCGAAAAATTTAAAAATTGAAAAATCGAAAAACGAAAAAATTGTGAAATTGAACAATGGGATAATTGAAAAACCAATTGAAAAATCGAAAAATTGTAATATTGAGACCTGAAAACCCTGATTAATTAAAAATCGAGAAATTGAAAAACGAAGCAATTCTGCAATTTTTTTATACAAAATTTTTCAAATTTTCGAGTTTTAATTTTTCATTTTCTCGATTATTCATTTTTTAATTGTTCAACAAAAGACAAATTTATTCAAACTGAACTTTTGAAAAACCGGAAAATTGTAACATTGAAACATCAAAAAACAAAACAATTAACAATCGAGAAATTGTAAAATCGACAAAAAGACACAATTCTGCAATTTTTCGACATAAAATTTTTTAAATTCTCGATTTTTTTCTTCATTTTCTCGATTTGTCATCTTTTAATTGTTCAACAACAGGACAAACTTATTCAAACCGAAATTTTTAATTGAATTGAAAAATCAAAAAATTGAGAAATCGAAGAATTGAAAAAATAAAGAAAACTAGAAAAAAACCGAAAAAATGTGACTTAAAAACTGAAAGATGAAACTTGAAATATCGAAAAATTTAAAAATTGAAAAATCGAAAAATGAAAAAATTGAGAAATCGAACAATGGGATAATTGAAAAATCGAAAAATTGTAATATTGAAACCTGAAAACCCTGATTAATTAAAAATCGAGAAATTGAAAAACGAAGCAATTCTGCAATTTTTTGATACAAAATTTTTCAAATTTTCGAGTTTTAATTTTTCATTTTCTCGATTTTTCATTTTTAATTGTTCAACAAAGGACAAATTTATTCAAACTGAACTTTTGAAAAACCGGAAAATTGTAACACTGAAACATCAAAAAACAAAACAATTAAAAATCGAGAAATTGAAAAATTGACAAAAAGACAAAATTCTGCAATTTTTCGATATAAAATTCTTCAAATTCTCGATTTTTTTCTTCATTTTCTCGATTTGTCATCTTTTAATTGTTTAACAAAAGGACAAATTTATTCAAACCGAAATTTTTAATTGATTTGAAAAATCAAAAAATTGGGAAATCGAAGAATTGAAAAAATAAAGAAAACTTGAAAAAACCGAAAAAATGTGACTCAAAAAGTGAAAAATGAAACTTGAAATATCGAAAAATTTAAAAATTGAAAAATCGAAAAATCAAAAAATTGAGAAATTGAACAATGGGATAACTGAAAAAACAATTGAAAAATCGAAAAATTGTAATATTGAAACCTGAAAACCCTGATTAATTAAAAATCGAGAAATTGAAAAACGAAGCAATTCTGCAATTTTTCGATACAAAATTTTTCAAATTTTCGAGTTTTAATTTTTCATTTTCTCGATTATTCATTTTTTAATTGTTCAACACAAGACAAATTTATTCAAACTGAACTTTTGAAAAACCGGAAAATTGTTAACACTGAAACATCAAAAAACAAAACAATTAAAAATCGAGAAATTGAAAAATTGACAAAAAGACAAAATTCTGCAATTTTTCGATATAAAATTCTTCAAATTCTCGATTTTTTTCTTCATTTTCTCGATTTGTCATCTTTTAATTGTTTAATAAAAGGACAAATTTATTCAAACCGAAATTTTTAATTGATTTGAAAAATCAAAAAATTGGGAAATCGAAGAATTGAAAAAATAAAGAAAACTTGAAAACACCGAAAAAATGTGACTTAAAAACTGAAAAATGAAATTTGAAATATCGAAAAATTTAAAAATTGAAAAATCGTAAAATGAAAAAATTGTGAAATTGATCAGTGGGATAATTGAAAAAACAATTGAAAAATCGAAAAATTGTAATATTGAAACCTGAAAACCCTGATTAATTAAAAATCGAGAAATTGAAAAACGAAGCAATTCTGCAAATTTTCGATACAAAATTTTTGAGTTTTGATTTTTCATTTTCTCGATTTTTCATGTTTTAATTGTTCAACAAAGGACAAATTTATTCAAACTGAACTTTTGAAAAACCGGAAAATTGTAACACTGAAACATCAAAAAACAAAACAATTAAAAATCGAGAAATTGAAAAATCGACAAAAAGAGACAATTCTGCAATTTTTCGATATAAAATTTTTGAAATTCTCGATTTTTTTTCATTTTCTCGATTTGTCGTCTTTTAATTGTTCAACAAAAGGACAAATTTATTCAAACCGAAATTTTTAATTGAATTGAAAAATCAAAAAATTGAGAAATCGAAGAATTGAAAAAATAAAGAAAACTTGAAAAAACCGAAAAAATGTGAGTTAAAAACGATAAATGAAAAAATTGACAAATTGATCAATGGGATAATTGAAAAAACAATTGAAAAATCGAAAAATTGTAATATTGAAACCTGAAAACCCTGATTAATTGAAAATCGAGAAAGTGAAAAATTGAAAAAACCAAAAACAAAAATTTCTATAAATTAAATAATCGAAAATACAAAACTTCCTAATTTCAAAATACAAAAATTTTAAAATGAAAACCGGAAAACTAAAAAATTAAGGAATTGTAAAAAAGAAACATGGAAAAATTGAAAAAATGTAACATCGAAAAGACGAAACACTGAAAAACCGAGAAATCGAAGAATTGAAAAAATACAGAAACTAAAAAATCGGATAACTGAAAAGCCAAGAATTGTACACTTGGAAAAAACCCTACAAAATTGCAAATCTGAAAAAAAAAAAAAATAAAAACGTAAAATCGAAAATTTGTAACATTTAAACATGAAAAAGTGATAAATTAAAAATTGAGAAATTGGAAAATCGAAAAATTAAAAAATAGAGAAATCGAAAAATGTAAAAACGAAACACGGAAAATCGAAAAATTAACAATTAAAAACCAAACATTTAAAAATCTCGAATTGAGAAAATAAAAAATCGAAGAAACGGAACAACTTGGAATTACATACTTGGAAGTACTTTATTTTTAATTTTTCATTTTCTCAATTTTTCGTTTTGTAATTTTTCAACAAAAGGACAAACTTATTAAAAGTGTAATTTTAAAAAATCAAAAAATCGGAAAATTGGAACACTAAAAAATTGAAAAGAAACTCAAAATCTAATAATTAAGAGGTCAACAATTGGAAAAGGAAAAATTGTAACCTTAAAAATGAAAAAAACAGAAAACTCGAACAACTGCAAAATTGAAAAGCAAAAATAGAAAACCGAAACTTGAAACACCAAGAAATTTAAAAATTGTAATCTTAAAACTTGAGAAACTGAAAACTTCGATAATTGAAAAAACAACTGAAAATTTGAAAAATTGAAAAAAAAGAAACTGTTAATTAACAATCCAGAAATAGAAAAATACGGAAAACAAAATTTTCTAGAAATAGAAAGATCGACAAATTGTAAAATTCAAAAGTTGAAGAATCGAAAAATACAAAAAATTTAAATTCAAAAATCGAAAACTGAAAATTGAAAAATCTTAAAATGGAAAACTCGAAAAAACGAGAATCTGTGGTGCAGAAATTAATGTGTGCTCATTTAGCAATGGCAACACTGGTAAAATGTCAAATCTGGTAACTTACAAAAAACCCTGCGTGATCGGGTGTTGCGATTATTAATTTCAGGGTTGCTAAAACACAGCTATACACCTCGAATTTTGGGTTAATTTTTCAAAAAACCCTCTCTCGGCATGAATGTGGCCCGACGAGTCCTCTCCTCATTCAATCATCCACCCCTCACTAACCTAACCTCAAAAACCTGCAGCCGCACGTACGCTTTCAAAAGCGACCTAAAAATAAAATGGGTCCGCCCCGAGAAAATCCCCTGCTTTAGACCCGAAAAAAGCGGCGATTTGGAGCCAATGTCGCAAATCGACTTGTCGCAGCCCCGGATGATGTTCCGGAACTCCAAGGAACTGGAAACCGCCGACGCAACCGTGAAGAAACTCTTCTCTTTAGAGTACGCACCCAGGAAGGAAGTAGCCAGGGTTTATTTTGAGGAAATAAAAGACGTGGTGAGGAGGCACCCCATGGACGCGGGTTCCATTGAGGTTAAAATCGCGCGGTGGACCGGCATCATTCGGGCCTACCAGGAGCTGATGGAGCGGTTTCCGCGGGATAAGCGCATGAAGGTGATTTTGAAGGAGTTGATAGATAGGCGGAAGAAGCACTTGAAGTATTTGCGGCGGTGGGATTATAAGAAGTTCGAATGGTTGCTGGAGACTCTAAATTTGGTTTATAAGCCGCCGCCAAATGAGTTTCATTGGATTACGCGGAAGGAGTCGTTGCAGAAACTCACTGATAAGTACTGTGAAGATCTCAAACAGGAGCGTTTGGACACGTACAGGAAGATGTTGCAAGCTGAGCAGCCAATTTTCTTGAAGGAGAAAATTCGGGCGCTTCAGTTTATCAGGAGCGAGCAGCAGGAATGTGGGGTTGAAGTCACGGTGACGGACGAGGAGATAGAAAAGGTTAAGAATCAACTGCAGGAGTTAGAGGAGAAGAAACAAAGTGAGAGTGATGATTCATAATTTGGTTTTTTGGTGAAAGACTGGTTCGTTTTTCGTGTATATTTCAATACATGTATCACATACACATAACGACGAAAATGCAACAATAAAAACCCTAATCTAGAAGTCACATACATCAAGTGAAAATACATAATAAAAAAATAAAATGTTTATTACATGTCTACCTTATTATTGATCATGTTCATGAAGTATTGCCGTCTAAACTAATTGAAAAACATTGCTTCACCGTACTTAGTACATTGATCTAACATTTACTATTCGCTATAAAGAGAATCAGTCATTTCTTTTTGACCTTATAATAGGAACAAATTTCTTGGAGTTTTCTTTATAAACACGCTTTTTTCAAAAATCAACTACGAAATAATACAACGGTAATTTGCACAGCAAATCCACTATTAACGGAAGGAAAGCATTTTTCAATGTGAAAATATAAAAACAAGACGCAAGATATTGCACTCCATAAAACTTAACCAAGTTTCCACGGAATACTATACTGAAAGTTGAACTACACTGCAAAATCGCAATGAAACAAAAAAGACCGTTATTTGTGGCACCGTACGACACAGCGCCCCCTTGCGGACGAAACACGGAGCTAACAAGATAAGCACATAACGGGAAATACGACCAGGAAGAACACAGTTTCGTCATATATAATACCACCAACGGGAACGTCGTCCACGGTCACGTGACGACACGGCCACTTCCAGTTGGCCGAAACCGCCACGTGACTCCATCAAACCCCAATCAAAATCCGTGTTCTTCGAATACACTAATTATAACAAACGACTGTTTTTGACACAGCAGACTAATTAATTTTTTCTGATAAAGGCCATTTCTGTCACTTATTATAGCAAATATGTTCTACCGCGTACCTTCGACACGAATTTTACGTCCGCACGACCACCTTGGACAAAGTTTTTGATTGACCTGTACACAAGTTTAGAAACGGAGATGAGCAATTAGTACCTAAATTACCTCTAGCTTTCCCTAATAATAAAATTTACAACTTGTCTGCTTAACTCATCCAAATACCTCAAGCAAAAACAAAATATAAAAATTGACCTAGATCCTCACCTCTCCCGCCACTTAGGTCTTCTTAAAGAACGAACTTATGGTTTTGCTGCCGCTGGCCGCTTTGGCTCTCGCCTTCTCCTTCGAGTTCATCGACGGAGGTTTGGCCGCTTTTGGCTCGGGTTTACTTAAGTCTAACACGTTTGATGTACTGCTTTTGTTCTCTTCTTCGACTTTGGCCTTTTTTGTTTCGTTCGGGGATAAAGGGTTTAGGCTTTTTCGCTTGAGGTTGAACTGGGGGTCTTCGGGGAGATTCAAGTATTTGAGGAGTTTTTGGCTAAGGTCGTCCATTAGGTACTCGGATACGATTCCGTGGGCGTATCGAAGGTACGACTCTGTGTCAGAAGAATCGGATTTTTTTACGAAAGTGGCAGACATGGCGCCGGAACCTACGTGGATGTTTTTCTGTTTAAGGATTTCGGCGACTCGTTCCGTTTTCTTCTTCAGCCAGGAGAGGGTCTTTTCTTCGTTGTATTTAAAGGCGTTGAGCTCTTCGTCGCCCTAGAATAAACATTCTTTTATATATTGTTCATTCATATACAAATTTATGGATTTTGAATGTAATTACAAATTAATTTTAAACTAAGTTTCAAAAATTTTACATGCATTCCATTTGAATGAAAAAAAGTAAGCCATGAAATTTATCCCAACATTATTATTTTATTTTTATATATGGTACCATGTGATCGCGAAAAATAGTCATCTAACAACTTTTAAAATTTAACATTTTAAAAAATTATGTTGACAGCACCAACGCCTTCCTTATTCGTGTTTATCAGTTTGACATGGACGGTCAAATAAAGCTCAGATATCTTCAATGCCAACTTTATTTTAAAAATAATTTTCATGGCTTACTAGACGTTTTGTTTTTAAATTACTAAAATATTTTTGTCATAAATAGGTATTTTTTGTTTTGAATAAAAACAGAAAAATATTTTTATATGTGATGTGGAAGGAAAAATCGGCCAAAAAAAACAAGTTAGTATTTTAAAAAAAGTAATAAAAATAACATAATTTTTAAGGCTACCTCAGATTTTTTTATTCGTAGATTTTTACTGACATTGGTCTAATCTGTTTGCAAAATTTTGGGGTTGATTCAATTTTTTGGTTTATTATTTTTCAGTTTTTCAATAAAAATAAATTTATTCAAATAAAATCGAAAAATAAAAAATTGAAAACCTGAAAATCGAAAAATCTTTGTAGATCACTTCACTTTTAATTTTCGATTTTTAATTTTTTTGATTTTCCATTACAATTTTTCTGGGTTTTTTTCAAATTTTCCTTTTCCCAACTTTTCAATTTTTCGAATTTTCAATTTTTAGATTTTTTAATTTTTCATTTTTTCCAGTTTTTTGATTTGAAAGTTTTCGAGTTGTTGGTTATAATTTTCTGTAATTTCAAATTTTCAATTTATAATTTTACCTAGATTTAATTTTTCATTTTAAATTTATCAATTTTTCAATTTTTAGAATTTTCAGTTTCTCGAGTTTTCAATTTTTCGATTTTAAATTAAAAATTTTTGACCGTTTCAGTTTTTCAACTTTTGATTTTTTTTGACTTTTAGCTTCTTTCTATTTTTTCAATTACTTAATTTTTCAGTTTCTCTGTTTTTAGTTTTTCGATTTTTAAATTTTTAATTTTTTGTTTTTTCCAGTTTTTTGATTTGAAAGTTTTCGGATTTGTCGGTTATAATTTTGCGAAATTTACAATTTTCGATTTACAATTCTTTGATCTTTCAATTCCTAGATTTAATTTTTCGTTTTAAATTTATCAATTTTTCAGCTTTTGAAATTTTTAATTTAGAGATATTTCAATTTTTCGTTTGCTGTAATTTAAAATTTTTGACCTTTTCAGTTTTTCAACTGTTGAATTTTTTTAGACCTTTTCTTTCTTCAATTATTCAATTTTTCGAATTTTGAATTTTTGGATTTTTAAAATTTTTCGTTTTTTACAGTTTTTTGACTTTGAAAGTTTTCGAGTTGTTAGTCATAATTTTCTGTAATTTCAAATTTTCGATTTATAATTTTTCGATCTTTCAATTCCCAGATTTAATTTTTCGTTTATATTGATCGATTTTTCAATTTTTTGAATTTTCAGTTTCTCGAGTTTTCAATTCGAAATTTTCCCAATTTTCGATTTTCAGCTTTTGAAATTTTTAATTTAGAAATATTTCAATGTTTCGTTTCTATAAAAATTGTTCGATTTGTAATTTTTCAATTTATAAAAATTTTTATTTTTCGATTTTAAATTTAAATTTTTTGACCTTTTCAGTTTTTCAACTTTTGATTTTTTTAGACTTTTAGCTTCTTTAGTTGTTCTATTTTTTCAATTACTTAATTTTTCAGTTTCTCCGTTTTTAGTTTTTCGATTTTTAAATTTTTCTTTTTTCCAGTTTTTTGATTTGAAAGTTTTCGGATTTGTCGGTTATAATTCTACCAAATTTAAAATTTTCGATTTACAATTTTTTTGATCTTTCAACTCCTAGATTTAATTTTTCGTTTTAAATTTATCAATTTTTCAATTTTTTTGAATTTTCATTTCTCGAGTTTTCAATTTGAAATTTTCCAAATTTTCGATTTTCAGCTTTCGAAATGTTTAATTTTGAGATATTTCAATTTTTCGGTTTCACATTTTTCGATATGCAATTTTTTGTGCTGTAAATTTAAAATTTTTGACTTTTCGGTTTTTCAACTTTTGATTTTTTTTAGACTTTTTGTTTCTTCAATTATTCGATTTTTCAATTTTTCGAATTTTTGGATTTTTAAAATTTTTCGTTTTTTAAAGTTTTTTGACTTTGAAAGTCTTCGAGTTGTCCCTTATAATATTGTGTAATTTCAAATTTTTCTATTTTTCAATTTGAATTTTCCAAATTTTCCATTTTCTCAGCTTTTGAAATTTTTTATTCAGCGATATTTCAGTTTTTCAAGTTATACAAATTTTTATTTTTGAATTTTAAATTTTTTGATTTTTAAAATATTAAATTTTTCAATTATGTATTTGATTTTCCTGTCTCTCGGTTTTCTATTTTTTTAATTTTTCGATATGCAGTTGTACGTGTTGTAAATTTAATATTTTTGATCTTTTCAGTACATATTTAGGATTTTGATTTTTTTTTTAGACTTTTCGATTTCTTCAGTTATTCGATTTTTTTAATTATTCAATTTTTCAATTTCTCTGTTTTCAGCTTTTCGATTTTCAAATTTTCAATTTTTCGATTTTTTAATTTTTCGTTTTTTCCAGTTTTTTGATTTTACAGTTTTCGAGTTGTCTGTTATAATTTTCCGTAATTTCAAATTTTCGATTTACAATTTTTCGATCTTTCAATTCCTAGATTTCATTTTTCGTTTTAAATTTATCGATTTTTCAATTTGAATTTTCAAAATTTTCGATTTTCAGCTTTTGAAATGTTTAATTTTGAGATATTTCAATTTTTCGATATGCAGTTTTTTGTGCTGTAAATTTAAAATTTTTGACTTTTTCGGTTTTTCAACGTTTGATTTTTTTTAGACTTTTTGTTTGTTCAATTATTCGATTTTTCAATTTTTCGAATTTTTGGATTTTTAAAATTTTTCGTTTTTAAAAGTTTTTTGACTTTGAAAGTTTTCGAGTTGTCGTTTATAATATTGTGTAATTTCAAATTTTTCAATTTGAATTTTCCAAATTTTCCATTTTTTCAGCTTTTGAAATTTTTAATTTAGCGACATTTCAGTTTTTCAAGCTACAAAAATTTGTATTATGTAAATTTTTCAATTATTTGATTTTTCTGTTTCTCGGTTTTCTATTTTTTAATTTTTCGATATGCAGTTTTACGTATTGTAAATTTAATATTTTTGATATTTTCAGTACATATTTCAAATTTTGATTTTTTTTAAACTTTTCGTTTTTTCAGTTGTTCGATTTTTTCAATTATTTAATTTTTCAGTTTCTGTTTTTAGCTTTTCGATTTTTCAAATTTTCAATTTTTAGATTTTTAAAATTTTTCGTTTTTTCCAGTTTCTTGATTTGAAACTTTTCGAGTTGTCGCTTATAATTTTGCGTAATTTCAAATTTTCGATTTACAATTTTTCGATCTTTCAATTCCTAGATTTAATTCTTCGTTTTAAATTTTTCGATTTTTCAATTTGAATTTTCATTTTTTTGATTTTTCAATTTGAATTTTCCAAATTTTCGACTTTCCAGCTTTTGAAATTTTTAATCTAGTGTTATTTAAATTTTTCGTTTCTATAAAAATTATTCGATTTGCAATTTTTCAATTTATAATTTTTTTTGACCTTTTCAGTTTTCCAACTTTTGATTTTTTTTTAGACTTTTCGTTTCTTCAATTATTCGATTTTTTCAATGACTTAATTTTTCAGTTTCTTTGTGTTTAGTTTTTCGATTTTTGAATTTTTAGATTTTCTATTTGTCGATTTTTAATAATTTTTCGTTTTTTCCAGTTTCTTGATTTGAAAGTTTTCGAGTTGTCGCTTATAATTTTACGTAATTTCAAATTTTCGATTTACAATTTTTCAATCGTTCAATTCCTAGATTTAATTTTTCGATTTTTCAATTTGAATTTTCCAAATTTTCGATTTTCCAGCTTTTGAAATTTTTAATTTAGTGTTATTTAAATTTTCCGTTTCTATAAAAATTATTCGATTTGCAATTTTTCAAGTTTAAATTTTTTTGACCTTTTCAGTTTTCCAACTTTTGATTTTTTTTTAGACTTTTCATTTCTTCAATTATTCGATTTTTTCAATGAGTTAATTTTTCAGTTTCTTTGTGTTTAGTTTTTCGATTTTTGAATTTTTAGATTTTCTATTTGTCGATTTTTTAATAATTTTTCGTTTTTTCCAGTTTCTTGATTTGAAAGTTTTCGAGTTGTCGCTTATAATTTTGCGTAATTTAAAAGTTTCGATTTACAATTTTTCAATCGTTCAATTCCTAGATTTAATTTTTCGTTTTAAATTTTTCGATTTTTCAATTTGAATTTTCCAAATTTTCGATTTTCCAGCTTTTGAAATTTTTAATTTAGTGTTATTTAAATTTTTCGTTTGTATAAAAATTATTCGATTTGCAATTTTTCAATTTATAAAATCTTTTGACCTTTTCAGTTTTCCAACTTTTGATTTTTTCAATTACTTAATTTTTCAGTTTCTTTGTTTTTAGCTTTTCGAATTTTCAATTTTTAGATTTTCTATTTGTCGATTTTTTAATAATTTTTCGTTTTTTTCCAGTTTTTTGATTTGAAAGTTTTCGGATTTCTCGTTTATAAGTTTGCGAAATTTAAAATTTTCGATTTTTCAATTTGAATTTTCCAAATTTTCGATTTTCCAGCTTTTGAAAATTTTAATTTAGTGTTATTTAAATTTTTGTTTCTATAAAAATTATTCGATTTGCAATTTTTCAATTTATAAATTTTTTGACCTTTTCAGTTTTCCAACTTTTGTTTTTTTTTTAGACTTTTTGTTTCTTCAATTATTCGATTTTTTCAATTTGTCGATTTTTTAATAATTTTTCGTTTTTTCCAGTTTTTTGATTTGAAAGTTTTCGAGTTGTCGGTTATAATTTTGCGTAATTTCAAATTTTCGATCTTTCAATTCCTAGACTTAATTTTTCGTATTTTCAATTTTCAATTTTTCTAGTTTCCCATTTGAAATTTTTCAAATGTCGATTTTCCAGCTTTTGAAATATTTAATTTAGTCATATTTCAATTTTGCGTTTCTATGCAAATTATTCGATTTGCAATTTTTCAATTTATAAAAACTTTTATTTTTCGATTTTTAAATTATTCAATGTTTCAATTATTTGATTTTCCTGTCTCTCGGTTTTCAACTTTTCAACTTTTTTCGATTTTTCAATTTGAAACAGAATTATAACTTATAACAGTGTCATGTATATGGTGAAAGGCTAAGCGCAATTTAGCGATTCAATCCATTAAAAAAATTACTGACGTCATTTTAAAATATTGCTTAAAATGTACTTATATGGCTTAATAATACCAAATAACTATTAATGTTTATAATTTTTTGTCAGATTGGCAACAAACCGTGTGACTATTGATGTTTGTGATATTTTCATATTTGAAATTTTATGGTGGCATACCTGATATCGAATTAACATTTTGAGTTTTTAGGTGCTCTCATATCAAACTACAACTGTGAACTGACATGTTAACATTCAGAATTGCCAACACAAAAATCTGCTTCAATCACTCATAGTCACCCGGTGTCTAAAAATTTATGTTGGCATAACTGATTGTAAAATTGGCATTTTTGACACCACCTCAATAGCTGCCATCTTTTCAACATGGTTAAGGGGGCTCATGTCACAACTGACAACCGTGAACTGAAATTCTTCAAAATTGCCAACACAAAAATTGTTCAATCATTAATAGTCACCCAGTATTTCATTTTTATATGTTAGGCCTACTGGTTGTCAAAAATAACCTTCAATTAAACCAATTATTCACAGTCTTATTTTTATATTTGAAATTTAGTATTATTTAGCAGGAAAAGTGTTCACTATAAACAAATCTTCAGTTTTATTATCTATGGAATAAAAATTTGAGAAAAAACGAATAAAGCATTAATTTTGAATAAGGCCGACTTCACATTCAAAATTCATAAACTCAGCTACAAATAACCGTAAACTTACTTTCCTGTCCGCTATCATGTTCAAGTATTTTAGGCCGCTGGACTTTAATAACCTTTCAGTTTCCGGAAACTCTTCATCCCTTAAAAGCTGGTCTAGAGGTATCGCTTGAGAACTGCAGTATTTTCGCAAATATGGGAGCACTACAACACGAATAATAACAAATCGCTGGTTTAGAGCTGGTTTTTACCTAAAAATATGGGATCTATTGGAGTCGACAGATGCATTTTCCCGTCACTCTTGACAGTCTCATCGATAAACCACGACCTTTTAGCCTCATTATATGTTAAAATCTCCTGCACTGAGTTATTCGCCGGCGAGAATAGAAAAACCGCCGACTCTCCGGTGTTCGGGTGCCTCAGAGTGACTATATCTGGCGTCCCAGTGCCGGTATACTGCTCGCTGAGCTCCAACGCCTCACCTGAAAATGTAAACAAACCAGAAATTAAAAAACCATGAATGAAACCCCCGGCGAAACCTCTCGCACTGGTCAATACCGATTTTTTCCGCTCACAATAAAAACAAAAGGCAGCGCTAAAAGAACGCAGAAAAATCCAAAGAGAGCAAAACAACAGTCGTTTCAGGACTCACCTTTCAAGAGAAAAACCCAGGAGTTCGTCGGTTGTTGGATGTTGGATTTGACGCACTTCTTGGGGGAGGCCTTAACGCGGGGCATTTTCACTGGGAAACGCTTCGGGGATAGTTTGAACAACTTTTTTGTGTTTACGAGAAGACAGCCATCACAGACGCCCGGTAAAACTTCACACTAAAATGACAGTTCTGCATAAACACAAATTAAAATTAGGTTGGCAGCACTCTTCATCATTTTCATAATGACCCAGTCGACCAGACGAGTGTACGCCGGGCGGTGATTTAACGCGCGCATTTGCATCTACGTGGACGACTGTAAACAGGCACCTGGGATGCGCACGTAAATTGCGCAAGGACAGTGGCGTAACAAAAAAATCGCGGGAAGTCGGGTGGGTTTTTTGGTGCGGAAGTGGACAGGTGAGAGGTGAGTCACTGGGTTTTCGAAGCGTCGGAGGGATGCAGTTGAGGTGGAAAATAGTAGAACAGAACATGAGGGAAATATATATGTAAAATTAAACAATTTTCCAGCATGTATTTAATTTAATTTTCATTAATGTTGTTAGATTTGTTCAAAAATTTGATTTTGGAGAATTTATTTTTAATATTTTTTGTTCTGAAAATTTCAGTGTATTTAATTTTCTTGTACCTGTTCAAATTTAAAGTGAATTTAACTCAGCGTAATTTACAAAAAATACCAAACTAAAAATACATGAATACATATTTGTGACTATAATACATTTTACAAACGTACTAACGACGTTATTGTTGCGTGCTTTTTTCTCGTGTTTTTGAAAAGCTACGACAAGAATGAATTCTTTATTATAATCTTGCCAAATAATGACAACATTTAATATGATTTCGACGACCGACATGTTACTTCTATTATCCGTTCACGATCTTTATATAGTAGGGTTGGCCATGAAAATCTAGTGAGTTTGTTGGTATTCGATGCAGAAGAATAAAAATTCCCTGAACTTTTTTCGTTAGGTGATTAATATTAAAGTTGGCCAAATCGACCGCAAAAAACATCAGTCTTATCGAAAATTTTCTCAGGATCATGAATCCGTGCTTATTTTTACTGTATGTCCACCAATAACTGTGAAATATACACACTTTCATTTGGCGCCTCCACCACAAAACTTAGAAATTCCGGTCTTATAAATATTTCACCTGTCATGTGTATAGTTGGTTGCATATATACGCATTCTTTAGTTAACATTATAAAACAATTTTCTAAAGTATAACTTCAAAATAAAGCATAATAAAAAGTGAGTGTTCAAATCCACGTTATATCTGAAACTTGTATTATTTTGTTTTGACATTTAAATATAGTAGCTAAAGCTTCAAAATTTTGTAAAATCAAGCGAAGGCTATTGTTGGAAGTCCACTTTTTTCCGACTTTAAAACCATGTGATCGAAAAAACATCGTTTAGTCAGCCATGGGATTAATTAAAAAAAATATTATTGGAAAACTTTGTTAAGATCATTCACCTCTTTCTTCTCTTTTCAATTTTAGTTGTCAGTCTCGGCCCGGGGCCATCTAAATGTAATATTTTTGGATTCAGCTGTTCGAAATATATATTCTAGAATTTTTTATGGATTTTTGAGGAACTTCGAAAAAATCTCAAATTTTCAACAACCTCTGCTCATGAAATTTTTGATATTTTCAGGACCACCTTCGAAAATTAGTAAACAAGACCTTTTTATTGATCATGAAGTAAGATCCGGCTTCAGTTCTTTGAAAATTCCAACCAATTTTCCAGAAACCCTAAATGAAATACGGCACTTTTGCAAATTTTGAGAAAAATTGATTTTGAAATGGAATATTTCCAAAACTAGGTGTCGTATCGACTTGGGATTATTTTCCATTTTAGAGGCGTTATTTCTGTGTAAACGCGAATTTTTTTAATAATTTTTGACTAAAGAGTTTTTCCAGAATCGTTTTGATAGATACGTCTTTAAGAAAAATGCCACGATTACTTCGAACTTTTCAATTTTAGTTGTCAGTCTTTGTCCGGGGCCATCTAAGTGTAATATTTTTGAATTCAGCTCATCGAAACATATCTCCTATAATTTTTTGTGGATTTTTGAGGAACTTTGAAAAAATCTTAAAATTTTAACAACTCATGAAATTTTTGATATTTTCAGGACCATCTTCGAAAATTAGTAAGCAAGACCTTTTTATTGATTTATATCCCCTGAAGTAAGATCCGGCTTCAGTTCTTTGAAAATTCCAACCAATTTTCCAGAAACCCTAAATGAATTACGGCACTTTTACAAATTTTGAGAAAAATTGCTTTTGAAATCGAATATTTCCAAAACTAGTTGTCGTATCGACTTGGGATTATTTTCCATTTTAGAGGCGTTATTTCTGTGTAAACGCGATTTTTTTCATAATTTTTGACCAAAGAGTTTCTCCAGAATCGTTTTGATAGATACGTCTTTAAGAAAAATGCCACGATTGCTTCGAACTTTTCAATTTTAGTTGTCAGTCTTTGTCCGGGGCCATCTAAGTGTAATATTTCTGGATTCAGCTCATCGAAACATATCTCGTATAATTTTTTGTGGATTTTTGAGGAATTTTGAAAAATACTTAAAATTTTAACAACTCATGAAATTTTTGATATTTTCAGGACCACCTTCGAAAATTAGTAAACAAGACCTTTTTATTGATTTATATCCCCTGAAGTAAGATCCGGCTTCAGTTCTTTGAAAATTCGAACCAATTTTCCAGAAACCCTAAATGAATTAGGTACGACACTTTTACAAATTTTGAGAAAAATTGATTTTGAAATCGAATATTTCCAAAACTAGTTGTCGTATCGACTTGGGATTATTTTCCATTTTAGAGGCGTTATTTCTGTGTAAACGCGATTTTTTTCATAATTTTTGACTAAAGAGTTTCTCCAGAATCGTTTTGATAGATACGTCTTTAAGAAAAATGCCACGATTGCTTCGAACTTTTCAATTTTAGTTGTCAGTCTTTGTCCGGGGCCATCTAAGTGTAATATTTTTGGATTCAGCTCATCGAAACATATCTCCTATAATTTTTTGTGGATTTTTGAGGAACTTTGAAAAAATCTTAAAATTTTAACAACTCATGAAATTTTTGATATTTTCAGGACCATCTTCGAAAATTAGTAAACAAGACCTTTTTATTGATTTATATCCCTTGAAGTAAGATCCGGCTTCAGTTCTTTGAAAATTCCAACCAATTTTTCAGAAACCCTAACTGAATTACGGCACTTTTACAAATTTTGAGAAAAATTGATTTTGAAATCGAAAATTTCCAAAACTAGTTGTCGTATCGACTCGGGATTATTTTCCGTTTTAGAGGCGTTATTTCTGTGTAAACGCGATTTTTTTCTTAATTTTTGACTAAAGAGTTTCTCCAGAATCGTTTTGATAGATACGTCTTTAAGAAAAATGCCGCGATTACTTCGAACTTTTCAATTTTAGTTGTCGGTCTTTGTCCGGGGCCATCTAAGTGTAATATTTTTGGATTCAGCTCATCGAAACATATCTCCTAAAATTTTTTGTGGATTTTTGAAAAAATCTTAAAATTTTAACAACTCATGAAATTTTTTATATTTTCAAGACCATCTTCGAAAATTAGTAAACAAGACCTTTTTATTGATTTATATCCCCTGAAGTAAGATCCGGCTTCAGTTCTTTGAAAATTCCAACCAATTTTCCAGAAACCCTAAATGAATTACGGCACTTTTACAAATTTTGAGAAAGATTGATTTTGAAATCGAATATTTCCAAAACTAGTTGTCGTACCGACTTGGAATTATTTTCCATTATAGACGGTTATTTCTGTATAAACGCGAATTTTTTCATAATTTTTGACTAAAGAGTTTCTCCAGAATCGTTTTGATAGATACGTCTTTAAGAAAAATGCCACGTTTACTTCGAACTTTTCAATTTTAGTTGTCAGTCTTTGTCCGGGGCCCTCTAAGTGTAATATTTTTGGATTCAGCTCATCGAAACATATTTCGTATAATTTTTTGTGGATTTTTGAGGAACTTTGAAAAAATCTTAAAATTTTAACAACTCATGAAATTTTTGATATTTTCAGGACCATCTTCGAAAATTAGTAAACAAGACCTTTTTATTGATTTATATCCCCTGAAGTTTGATCCGGCTTCAGTTCTTTAAAAATTCCAACCAATTTTCCAGAAACCCTAAATGAATTACGGCACTTTTACAAATTTTGAGAAAGATTGATTTTGAAATCGAATATTTCCAAAACTAGTTGTCGTATCGACTTGGGATTATTTTCCATTTTAGAGGCGTTATTTCTGTGTAAACGTGATTTTTTTCATTATTTTTGACCAAAGAGTTTCTCCAGAATCGTTTTGATAGATACGTCTTTAAGAAAAATGCCACGATTGCTTCGAACTTTTCAGTTTTAGTTGTCGGTCTTTGTCCGGGGCCATCTAAGTGTAATATTTTTGGATTCAGCTCATCGAAACATATCTCCTAAAATTTTTTGTGGATTTTTGAAAAAATCTTAAAATTTTAACAACTCATGAAATTTTTTATATTTTCAAGACCATCTTCGAAAATTAGTAAACAAGACCTTTTTATTGATTTATTTCCCCTGAAGTAAGATCCGGCTTCAGTTCTTTGAAAATTCCAACCAATTTTCCAGAAACCCTAAATGAATTACGGCACTTTTACAAATTTTGAGAAACTTCAATTGAACAGTGGTTGACAAGACCACTAGAACTTCTTGGTCTGTTGTACTTTTTCCTTTTTTTTGTTCCTAAGGTACACATTCTCTCAAAGAACAACAACCCCAGGCAAACATTTTTATTTACACTTTTATACATAAACGCTCATATATTCCACGCTAAACACCCTCCACTCTCCTAGACGCCCAAACTCTCCCACAACCCACATGGTCCCACATTACATATTGTAAGGCGGCGGCTGATGCTGATACGGATTCGGGTTCATCTGCCTCTGCAGATGCGCCACCAGCGCCGGCGACGGCTGCGTCCCCTGCGGCCCTCCTTGCTGCTGTTGCTGTTGCTGCTGCTGCATCGCCATCATTTGCTGCCTCATCCTCTGCTGCTGCTGGAACTGGTTCTGCTGCTGCTGCTGCACCCCCGGCTGCATCGCTTGCGGCGTCTGGCGGGTGTACGGCGGCGCCGGACCCCCCTGTCCCCCCATGCCGCCCATCGTGTTCATGTTGGCGTTCATGGTCACGTTGGGCGCTTGCTGGAGGTATTGCGACCTGGGGTTCTGGGCCATGCCGCGGTAGTCCGGCTGTGGGGGTCTAGGCTGGCCGAAACCTGCAAAAACGAAAAATTGTATTTTGTAACATTTACATCGAATTTCATTTTTTAAATTTTTAATTCAATATTTGTATTAGCTTCAGATCGTCTACTTCGACGTAAAGTCTATAAAAACAGTAAAGAATTTGAATTCGTCTCTGGAATGGCTGACAAGATTAATTCGAAAATATGGTCGATTTATAAATTCTATGTTTATAAACTTGTCGCTGACGTTGCCGTTGACGTTGGGTTTTCAACCAATCAAAATGCGGTAGTGTGCAGTGCTGCCAACTTGAAGGAAAATCCCCTGAAGTAGTGGGGACATTTTTCTGGTTGGCAGCACTAAATCCACGAAAATCAAATCTTGATAGAGATAATGAGGTCATAATTAAGCCATTTAATCGACTGTTCACCGAAACCCTCGTATTTTAAATAGCTGCCATCGATTCGATTTGCAATTTTTTAATTTTGCAATTTTTCGATTTTTCACATTCTCAGTTTTTAATTTTTGTCATTTTCAATTTTTCGTTTCCTCAATTTTTCAAGTTCTCGATTGTTATTTTTCATTTTCCCGATTTTTTTAATTTTCATTTTCTTGATTTTATGTCACAAACATTCATTTTTTCAATTCTTTTATTTTTTGTTGTTTCTTTCGATTTTTCAATTTTTCGTTTCTTCAATTTTTCGAATTTTCAGTTTCTCAATTTTTCGTTTCCACAATTTTTCGTGTTCTCGATTTTTATTTTTCAATGTGGCGAATTTTTTATTTTTATTTTCTCGATTTATATCACAATTGCCCGTTTTTTCATTTCCTTTATTTTCTGTGTTTTTTTTTCCAATTTTCCAATTTTTCATTTGTTCAATTTTTCAAATTTTCAGGCTTTGAATTTTCAGTTCGTCCATTTTTCAATTTCTTTAATTTTAAATATGTCTATTTCATAATACATATTTCTTTTTTTTTTATTTTTCACTTTTTCCATTTTTAAGATTTTTCAAGTTTTCATTTTGTAATTTTTCGTTTTTTATTTTTGATTTTTCAATTTTACAATTTCTCGACTTTCAAAGTTTTCAATTTTTCGTTCCTTCAATTTTTTTTTCAGTTTGCATCAGTTTTTCAATTTGGCAATTTTTCAATATTACAGATTTTCATTTTTCGATTTTTCAGTTTCTCAATTTTTAATTTTTTCCTTTTCCAATTTTTTGTTTCCCATTTCTATTTTTCATGTTCCCGATTTTTATTTTTCAATGTAGAGAATTTTTAATTTTTATTTTCTCGATTTATATCACAATTGTCCGTTTTTTCATTTCCTTTATTTTCTGTGTTTTTTTTTCGATTTTCCAATTTTTCATTTGTTCAATTTTTCAAATTTTCAGGCTTTGAATTTTCAGTTCGTCCATTTTTCAATTTCTTTAATTTTAAATATGTCTATTTCATAATACATATTTCTTTTTTTTTTTATTTTTCACTTTTTCCATTTTTAAGATTTTTCAAGTTTTCATTTTGTAATTTTTCGTTTTTTATTTTTGATTTTTCAATTTTACAATTTCTCGACTTTCAAAGTTTTCAATTTTTCGTTCCTTCAATTTTTTTTTCAGTTTGCATCAGTTTTTCAATTTGGCAATTTTTCAATATTACAGATTTTCATTTTTCGATTTTTCAGTTTCTCAATTTTTAATTTTTTCCTTTTCCAATTTTTTGTTTCCCATTTCTATTTTTCATGTTCCCGATTTTTATTTTTCAATGTAGAGAATTTTTAATTTTTATTTTCTCGATTTATATCACAATTGTCCGTTTTTTCATTTCCTTTATTTTCTGTGTTTTTTTTTCGATTTTCCAATTTTTCATTTGTTCAATTTTTCAAATTTTCAGGCTTTGAATTTTCAGTTCGTCCATTTTTCAATTTCTTTAATTTTAAATATGTCTATTTCATAATACATATTTCTTTTTTTTTTTATTTTTCACTTTTTCCATTTTTAAGATTTTTCAAGTTTTCATTTTGTAATTTTTCGTTTTTTATTTTTGATTTTTCAATTTTACAATTTCTCGACTTTCAAAGTTTTCAATTTTTCGTTCCTTCAATTTTTTTTTCAGTTTGCATCAGTTTTTCAATTTGGCAATTTTTCAATATTACAGATTTTCATTTTTCGATTTTTCAGTTTCTCAATTTTTAATTTTTTCCTTTTCCAATTTTTTGTTTCCCATTTCTATTTTTCATGTTCCCGATTTTTATTTTTCAATGTAGAGAATTTTTAATTTTTATTTTCTCGATTTATATCACAATTGTCCGTTTTTTCATTTCCTTTATTTTCTGTGTTTTTTTTCGATTTTACAATTTTTCATTTGTTCAATTTTTCAGATTTTCAGGCTTTGAATTTTCAGTTCGTCCATTTTTCAATTTTTAAATTTTTCACTTTGCAGTTTTTGGATTTCCAGTCTACCGATTTTCCAATTTCTTTAATTTTAAATATTTCTATTTCATACTACATATTTCTTTTTTTTATGATTTTTCACTTTTTCGATTCTTAAGATTTTTCAAGTTTTCATTTCGTAATTTTTCGTTTTTTATTTTTGATTTTTCAATTTTACAATTTCTCGACTTCCAAAATTTTCAATTTTTCGTTCCTTCAATTTTTCAGTTTGCAACAGTTTTTCAATTTGGCAATTTTTCAATGTTACAGATTTTCTTTTTTCGATTTTTCAGTTTCTCAATTTTTAATTTTTTCCTTTTCCAATTTTTTGTTTCCCATTTTTATTTTTCATTTTCCCGATTTTTTAATTTTCACTTTTTCGATTTTATATCACAATTTTCCTTTTTTTGATTTCCTTTATTTTTTGTTGTTTCTTTCGACTTTACAATTTTTCCTTTATTAAATTTTTCAAATTTTCAGGTTTTTAGCAATTTTTCTTCAAATTTTCAAGTTTGATTTGAAATTTGTATATTTTTGAAGTTTTTATTTTACACTTTTTCGTTTTTTTATTTTTGATTTTTCAATATTACAATTTGTCGACTTCCAAATTTTCCAATTTTTCAATATTACAATTTCTCATTTTTTCATTTTTCACATTCTCGATTTTTAATTGTGCCCTTTTTCAATTTTCCGTCCCCTCAATTTTTCAACACCCCGATTTTTATTTTGCATTTTCCTGATTTTTATTTTTCATTTTCTCGATTTTTCAATTTTTCGTTTATTCAATTGTTCAAATTTTCAGGCCAATCGATTCCAATTCGTCGATTTTCCAATTTTAAAATTTTTCAGTTTGCAGATTTTGGGTTTCTACCCCTTTTTTACTTTTTGGATTTTCAATTTTTCGTTAAACCTTGGATTTCTCAAATTTTCGACGGTTTTATACTTCGATTTCTTATTTTTTCTTTTTTAAGATTTTTCAAGTTTTCATTTTGTAATTTTTCGTTTTTTATTTTTGATTTTTCAATTTTACAATTTCTCGACTTCCAAAATTTTCAATTTTTCGTTCCTTCAATTTTTCAGTTTGCATCAGTTTTTCAATTTGGCAATTTTTCAATATTACAGATATTCATTTTTCGATTTTTCAGTTTCTCAATTTTTAATTTTTTCCTTTTCCAATTTTTTGTTTCCCATTTTTATTTTTCATTTTCCCCATTTTTTAATTTTCACTTTTTCGATTTTATATCACAATTTTCCTTTTTCTGATTTCCTTTATTTTTTGTTGTTTCTTTCGATTTTACAATTATTCCTTTATTAAATTTTTCAAAATTTTCAAGTTTGATTTTCAATTTGTATATTTTTGAAGTTTTTATTTTACACTTTTTCGTTTTTTTATTTTTGATTTTTCAATTTTACAATTTGTCGACTTCCAAATTTTCCAATTTTTCAATATTACAATTTCTCATTTTTCCATTTTTCACATTCTCGATTTTTAATTGTGCCCTTTTTCAATTTTCCGTCCCCTCAATTTTTCAACTCCCCGATTTTTATTTTGCATATTCCTGATTTTTTATTTTTCATTTTCTCGATTTTCCAATTTTTCGTTTATTCAATTTTTCAAATTTTCAGACCAATCGATTCCAATTCGCCGATTTTCCAATTTTAAAATTTTTCAGTCTGCAGTTTTTGGGTTTCTACCCCTTTTTTACTTTTTGGATTTTCAATTTTTCGTTAAACTCTGGATTTCTCAAATTTTCGATGGTTTTATACTTCGATTTCTTTTTTTTTTCAACTTTTCGATGTTTTAATTTTTCTTTTTTAAGATTTTTTCAATTTCTCAATTTTTTTCTATTTTTCGATGTTTCGATGTTTCAGTTATCCGATTTTTCATTTTTTTTTAATTCTGGAGTTTCGGTTTGTCGATTTGTCAGTTTTTCGATTTTTAAGTTTTCCATTTTCGAATTTTTCTTTTTTGATTCTTTGATGTTTGGATTTCTCCATTTTTCAATTTTGCGATATTTCAATTGTTCAATATTTTAAATTTTAGATTTTTCGATTTCTGGATTTTTTGATTTTCCAGTTCTTCAGTAGTTCTATTTTACAATTTTTCAAATTTTGACGTTGCTAAATTTTCAGTTTTCCGATTTTTCGATTAATATATATATTTTTTTTATTTTCCCGTTTCTCGAATTCGCAGTTTCGATTTTTCAGTTCTTGAATTCTTCAGTTTTTCGTTTTTTAAACTTTAGATTTTTCAATTTTCGATTGTTTCATATATATTTCGATTTGTGAATTTTTCGAGTTTTCAGTTCTTGTATATGTATTTTTATTTTTCGATTTTTCAATTTTTTTGAGAACTCGATTTACCGAGATTCGGATGCTTCGATGTTTTGATTGTTTCAATTTTTGAATTTTTCGATGTTTCGATTTTTCGTTTTATCGGATTTTCGATTTATCGGTTTTTCATTTTTTTTGCTTTTCGGATTTTCAATTTTTGAATTTTCCGATTTTTCAATTTTCCATTTTTTTAAATTTTCAAGTTTTGACGTTTCTGAATTTTCAGTTTTCCGATTTCTCAATTAATCTATTTTTTGGTTTTCCCATTTTCGACTTTTTCAGACTCCAGATTTTTCAATTTTTCGGTTCTTCAGGTTTGCAATTTTTCCGCTTTTCGATTTCCCAATTTTTCAATTTTGGGATTTTTTTGTATTTCGACTTTTGGATTTATCACGTTCTGGATTTTTAGATTTCTCGACTTTTTACTTTTTGGATTTTCAATTTTTCGGTTTTCACAATCTTTCAACTTTTCGAAATTTTAAGTTTTCATTTTTTTTCAAGTTTGGCTCTCCACGATAAAAGAAAAATCATCACAACCGAGAAAGGGCGGGTGGGCGGGGCTTATCGCTTATATTTTGCCTTTTTTCTTAATATTATGTAGTCGTCTTTTCAGAACAAGAAACTTAAAACGTGTTTAAAATGGTAAATTCTTGTAGGCAAATATGGATTTTGCAATTAAGCCCCGCCCCTTGATCTGACAATTGAGAATTGAAATCGGGGCGGGCATGGGTGGGGCCTAATCTTTGGCATTATTTTTTTCTTAATATACATAGCATTCTTTGAACAACACGATACTCAAAAATAAGTTGTTAATTTCTCGTAGAGAAATAAGGATTTTACAGTTAAGCTCCGCCCCTTGGCTCATGACGAATAAAAAAAATCATCACAATTGAGATACCGAGGGCGGGCGGAGCTACATTTTGCCTTTTTTTTTCTTAATATGTGTAGACTTATTTCGACAACAAGAAACCCAAAACATGTCTAAAGGGGTAAATTTTTGTAGTAATCAACTTAAATCCTCCACTTTTCTTCTACAACCCCTTTAAATATGGCAAAACTTGAACATCAAAGTTACTATCAACGCCAACTCGACAACGGAATTTATAAACGACAATTTTCAGCTCTAAAATCACTTGACTGAAGGTTTGCTTTATTACGTGCTCCGGATCTAGTGTGAAAAGTTACTAAAATCTCCGCAGAAAAAGTAGTTCTAGCCCTAATTTTAAATTAAGTCCATTCGGAAATGTACATAAAAGTAACATAAAATAAGGACGCTTATTCAAACATAAAAACACAATCGAAATTAACTGTCGGTAATGCTACCAACATAAAACTAGCAAGAAATAACATTTTAGCAACAGCTACTTAGGACTTTTGTTGCGGTAAGGTTTTAGTAACAAATACACGCTCCTGCATTGTCAAACGACTTTTAACTACCAAAACTCGTAAAGTCGCTGCAAAATACACAAAAAACTTATTTCATTCCAGAAAAGTCCAGCTTATGTTGTTACTTGCAGCACAATTCTCATTTTCCGGAACAATAAACGGACTTTCGCTTTAATGAACTTTTCCGTGAAACTGCTGTATTAAACTTAGCCAAACTGTGGCGTTTTGGGATCAATTTAAACATTACCTTGTTGCTGCCCTGCGAACATGTTGGGCTGCGAACTTTGCATCATTTGCTGACCTGCCGCTTGCATGTTGTTTTGCATCATGGTGTTGGGGGTGGCGGCGTAATTGCCGTAGGACTGGTTCATCCCGGCTTGCATGGAGCCGTATTGCTGCGGGAACATGTTCTGGAAGAAAAATTACAACAGGTATTTAACAAAAAAACAACATGCTTTACCATTGTGGCGGCAATTCAAAGACGATGTGCACTCAAACGAGAATTTGTTAACTTACAAATTTTGTTATTCTAGTTAATTTTGTAGCAGATTCGTGCTGTCATTCTTTGAAAATTTGCTCATATAAATAAAAACAAAAGCTGAAAGCTGGTTAAAGTGACTTGATTTCAAGTAGACAAGGTTACTTGTTTCCCAAATGCAATAAAACAGGTTTTTTCCCGGCGCATCCAGCGATTTACCTGGTTCTGCTGCATGGCCCCCGGGTGCTGCTGGCGTATCGGCTGCCTCGGGAACTGTCGCATCTGTCCGTAATTGGCGGCTTGCGGGCCCGGTCCTTGCGGGTTTTGTCCCCCAGGTCCCATGAACTGATTAATGGGATGCCGCGATCTCAGCAGATTAGAAAGCGCCTGTTTCGACTGATTAATCTGAGGTCTTTCGAAGCGGTTAACTGCAATCACCAAAAACAGCAGCGTCACTATGAATTCCCAAAAACAACAAGAAAACACCCTCACCGTTGGCCATCTGCGGCGGGTAGTAGCCCTGCTGTTGTTGCTGTTGCTGCTGGTTGTACCACTGTTGCTGGTTGCTGGCGTTGCCGTACTGCTGCCCTTGCTGGGGCATGCCCGGGCCCTGGCCGTAGTTGGGCATGTTGTGCATCTGCGGGTTGGGGCCCGGGACCTACAACCAAACATTTCACCGTTAACTAACCCACAATAATTTATTGCGTTTGATAAAATCACCTGCAAGGGCAGTCCAGGTTGTCCTTGTCCCATCTGGGACTGGTTCATGCCCATCGGGTTGACGTGCAGCTGCCCCGGCACGCCCTTCGGTTTCCTAGTCTTGCGCTGGCCCTTTCCTCGCCCTTTGCCCACGGCCGCCGGGCTCTGGTCCACGGACGACGGAGTGTCGGCCTTCAGGTCACAGTCCTTTAGCTGTAGGTTATATCGTACACAAATCTACACGTTTAACTACCCGGTGCTCAAGGATTCTAATCGATTGATCGAGTACATCATTCAGCACCAAACACACACTAGAAAAAATGCGCTACAACTAACCGGTTTGTCGGGGACGGGCTCCAGGTCCTCGGGGGGTAGAGACGGAGGGTCTAGGTAGTGAGATGCCGGACGCTGGAGGTTATGAGTGTGGTACTTGAGGAGGCGATGGGTGTCTTCGCCCGCTAGAGGTTTTCGTTCGAGGCGGACGGCACCGAACCACGCCCAAGAGAGCGGCGTCGGGTTTTTCATCCCTTCGAGGATGTCCCAGCTGCTGACGCGTTGCTTATCCGTCACCTGGTGCGAAGGCGAAATTAAGAGAAATTTAAAAGTGTTTCGAACTGGATTTTGGGGTATTACAACTGTTCCTGTACAAATCTAGGAAAGACCTGTTGTCACAGATAACACAATAACGTCATGGTAAAATATAATATGTATTTATTGTGGGTAACACGATATTCGTAATCCACGTACCTGGAAACCATGTTTTTTGTCCAAACTGTCAAAACTGATCTTATTTCCTTTACTATCAGTTACCCAACCTATAGGTTCCACCGCGATGACTTCTGTTACGCTTCTGGGTAAAGGCAAAAGTTGCCTGATATGTTGTAAAGATGCGTTATGTCGCTCCCCTACTTCTTTCTTCAATTTTTTCATTAGGTTCTGGTACATCTTTCGACCATCATCCTAACAGAAACACATTCATCTATAGAAAAGTAAACAAATCCAGTTTTTTGAATAAATTATAAAATTTGAATTTGCGAATTTTATTTTTTTATGAAAACACCCTATAAGTTTAAATAAGGACACGTGTATATTGCTAAACTATTATTATTATTATTATTACTATCAAAAGCGTATATTTTAAGTGAGTTTTACATAATAAAATTTTGAATTTTAGCAAGGACAAGAAAAAAGACAAAAAATCAATTAAAAAATAGAAAAAGTGTCACTACAAAATTACAAAAGAGTAAAAAAGCACAACAAAAACATAGCAAAAAAAAAAAGGAAAAAAAAAGAAATCGCTGCGAAATGAGAATTTTTTAAAATTTCAAGTATTTCGATATTTCAACGGTCGATTCTGGACAAACGGTTGCAGGTATCAAAAAACCGAGGCCGGATTTGAGTAAAAAGCACAACAAAAACACAGCAAAAACGGAGAAAAAAATGAAAGTAAAAATTGTGACAAAATGTGGGAAAAAAAGTGACAAAAGCGACCAAAAAAGACGAAAAAACAACGCGATTGATCGAACGTGAATTCGACAGAACTTCCCTTACCCTTGAAGCGCAATCCAACAAACCCCGCTTCTCTGAAAAATTATAAAATTTGGTTTTGGTTTTTTATTGTGATAAAATTGAAAAATCGAAAAACCGAGAGGTCGAGAAATCGAAAATTCGAAAAATTGAAACATGAAACAATTTAAAAATAGGAAAATCGAAACATCAAAAAGTCGTAAAATCGAAAAGCCCAAAAAAATCGAAAAAGCAAGAAATCGAAAAATTGAACAATCGAACATCGAAATCTCGATGAATCGACAAAATGAAAAACCGAGAAGCTGAAAAATCAAAAGATCGAGAAATCCAATCACCAAAAACTTGAAAAATCCAAAATTTAAAAATTCGAAAAACTGAAAAATAGAAAAATTGAAAAATCAAGAAACGGAAACATGAAAAAACTGAAAAATCCCAAAACTGAAATAATGAAAAACTGATAAAACGATAAATCGAACAATTGAAAAATCGAAGCACTGAAAAATCGACAAATCGAAAAGTCAAAAAATCCCAAGTCGAAAAACTGAAGAATAAAAAATTGAAAATTCGAGAAATCGAAAGTCGAAAAATCTAAATGTGTATTGAAAAATTCGGAAATCGAAAAATTGAAAAATCAAAATATCGGAAAATTGGAAAAGCGAAAAAGATCGAAAAACCGAGAAATCAAAAAGCCGAGAAGCTGAAAAATGGAGAAATCGAAATAGCCCAAAATCGAAAAATTGAACAATCGAAAACTCGATAAATCGATAAAATGAAAAATGGAAAAATCTAAAACCGCGAGAAGTTGAAAAAATTAATAGATCGAGAAATCGAAACATCAAAAACTTGAAAAATCGAAATCGTAAAATTAAAATATCTGGAAATTGAAGAATCGAAAAATTGGAAAATCAAAACATCCAAAGTTTTAAGAAATCAAAAATTGAAAAATCCCAAAACTGAAATATTGAAAAACTGATAAAGCGATAAATCGAAAAGTCAAAAAACCCCAAGTCGAAAAATTGACAAATCGAAAAACTGAAGAATAAAAAATTGAAAATTCGAGAATTCGAAAAGTCGAAAAATCTAAATATGTACTGCAAAATTCGGAAATCGAAAAATTGAAAAATCAAAATATCGGAAAATTGGAAAAGCGAAAAAGATTGAGAAACCGAGAAATCGAAAAGCCGAAAAGTTGAAAAATCGAGAAATCGAAATAGTCCAAAATCGAAAAACTGAAAAGTTGGGAAATTGAACATTCGAAAATCGAAATCTCGATAAATCGATAAAATGAAAAATCAAAAAATCTAAAACCGCGAGAAGTCGAAAAATCAAAAGATCGAGAAATCGAAACATCAAAAACTTGAAAAATCGTAAAATTAAAATATCTGGAAATTGAAGAATCGAAAAATTGAAAAATCAAGAAACGGAAACATGAAAAAACTGAAAAATTGGAAAATCAAAAAATCCAAAGTTTTAAGAAATCAAAAATTGAAAAAGCCCAAAACTGAAACATGTATTGAAAAACTGATAAAACGATAAATCGAAGCACTGAAAAATCGACAAATCGAAAACTCAAAAAAAATTCGGAAATCGAAAAATTGAAAAATCAAAATATCGGAAAATTGGAAAAGCGAAAAAGATTGAAAAACCGAGAAATCGAAAAGCCGAAAAGTTGAAAAATCGAGAAATCGAAATTGTCTAAAATTGAAAAATTGAAAAGTTGGGAAATTGAACAATCGAAAATCGAAACATCAAAAACTTGAAAATTTTAAAATTTAAAAATTCATAAAAGGAAAAATAGAAAAATCGAAAATCTGAAAAATCACAAAACTGAAATATCGAAAAACTGATAAAACGATAAATCGAACAATTGAAAATCGAGAAATCCGTGGTCGAAAAATCGAAAAATTCGTTAATCGAAAAACGGAAAAACCAAAAATCAAAAAACCGAGAAATCTAAAAGTCGAGAAGGTGAAAAATTGCCCAAAATCGAAAAATTGAAATTTCGACAAATCGATAAAAATTAAAACCGGGAAGTTGAAAAATCAAAAGATCGAGAAATCGAAACATCAAAAACTTGAAAAATCTAATATTTAAAAATTCAAAAAACTGAAAATTATAAAAATCGAAAAATAAAAATAGCCGGAAATTGAGTAATGTAAAAATTGAAAAATCGAGAAATGGAAACATCAAAAAATCGAAAAATTCGTTAATCGAAAAACGGAAAAACCAAAAAATCAAAAAACCGAGAAATCTAAAAGTCGAGAAGGTGAAAAATCTAGAAATCGAAATTGCCCAAAATCGAAAAATTGAAATTTCGATAAATCCATAAAATGAAAAACCGAAAAATTTAAAACCGGGAAGTTGAAAAATCAAAAGATCGAGAAATCGAAACATCAAAAACTTGAAAAATCTAAAATTTAAAAGTTCAAAAAACTGAAAAATAGAAAAATCGAAAATCGTAAAATAAAAATATCCGGAAATTGAAGATTGTAAAAATTGAACAACCGAGAAATGGAAACATCAAAAAACTGAATAATTGAAATGTCAAAAAATCTAAAATGTTAAGAAATCAAAAAATTGTAAAATTCCAAAATTGAAATTTCGAAAAACTGATAAAACGATAAATCGATAAATTCGTTAAACGAAAAACAGAAAAACCAAAAATCAAAAAACCGAGAAATCTAAAAGTCGAGAAGGTGAAAAATCTAGAAATTGAAATTGCCCAAAATCGAAAAATTGAAATTTCGATAAATCGATAAAATGAAAAACCGAAAAATTTAAAACCGGGAAGTTGAAAAATCAAAAGATCGAGAAATCGAAACATCAAAAACTTGAAAAATCTAAAATTTAAAAGTTCAAAAAACTGAAAAATTTGAAAAATCCCAAAACTGAAATTTCGAAAAACTGATAAAACGATAAATCGAACAACTGAAAAATCCAAGCACTAAAAAATCGAGAAATCGAAAAATCAAGAAATCCGAAGTCGAAAATTGACAAATCGAAAAAGTGAAAAATGAAAAACTAAAAAACCGAAAATTTATACAAAAATTAAAAAATCCCAAAACTGAAATATCGAAAAATTGAGTAATCCAAAAAGTGAAAATCGACATTTCGAAAAATTGTTTGCAAATTGTTATACAATTTTGATTTTTTTTAAATTCATAAATCTGGATGCCTAGGGTAAAAAAAAATCAACACGGATTCATAAACCACAAATGGAAGAGCAGGTTATTTTATAAAATTTAAACATTCACTATTGTAAAATTTGGGTATGACGTCATTCCATTCTTGCTGGGGGATGATCAGACTAATTGTGGTTAGCGTCCTACCGTTTACACGATATTCTTAAAACATACAAAAATTTGACAAGAATCGGTCCGGTAGTTTTGGAGATTATCTGTGTACTAAAAATCGACACAGACGGCGAACAGGTAGACAGACAGACAGACGGAAACGGGAGACCTATTTTTTCGTACTGTAGGGGTCATGAAACGTCGAGAAAACATGGAAGCACAACTCGATTACAATATTTCCTTAGCTTACGCTCGAGAAGTAACAAAATAAGAAAGGCAACAAAATTACAATGAAAAAAGCGGCAAAATATCCCTTACAAATAAAAGGATAAAAAAGAGCTACAAAAAAGCTACCAAAACATACGGAAAAAAAAGTCAAAAAACAACAAGAAAAGTGATAAAAAAAGGCCACAAAAAGTGATAAATGACAAAAAAAGACGTCAAAAGAAACGAAGAGTATTTTATAAAATTTAAGTGCATAGTATTTACTTATCAAAATTTTGACTGACGTCATCAAATTGTTGGTGGGAGTGATCAGACAAATTTTGGTTAGCGTATTGGAATCTACCGATAGTCCCGAAATATATCGCGAAATTCACTTTCTCATACTCGACACGTTACAAAACCTCTAGAAAAAATTTCCAGAGACCTTACAACATAAATTTACACCGCCACTTACACCACCCCAAAACTCACTTGACTATCCGTAGCCAGCGCCGAATGGATCAGTGTAGCCAACATATCCAAAACCGTCGTAAAAAGCTCGCTATGCGTATGCAGGTCGATCAACCCATTGGTCACCAGCTGCACCAACAAAAGCGCCCAATCCGTGGTGGCCGATGGGTTCCTCTGGAACGCTTCGAACACCCCACCCACCAAAGCGAACCTCAACTGCAGCCCATCCAAGGTCCTCTCGTTGCTACAAATATCCTGCAGATTGCCATCGCGCGCCAGTTGCACCAGCTGCGATAACTGCTGGTGCAACGACGACAGCAGACCCTCCCTCTGCCCCTCTTCCTGCCCCTTCAGACAAGTGAGCACCAAAGTCAAGAACGGCTGATGACTGAGCAAACTCTGGTTGTCGCTTCCGCTGCGGGCTTTGTTCTTGGGCTCTTTGCACCACCCGCCGGACTCCAGCACCTGCCCGGCCACCTTCAGCACGCGACCTTGAACCGCACTGTGCAGTTTGGACACCAGAGGCGCCACCAGCCATATCGAGTTCTGCTGGCGGTTCTGGTTTTTGATTTCGGGCTTTTTCTCGTCGCCTTTGGGGGAGTTGGAGGAGGGGCTGGTGAGCTGGAACACGTCGATGGCGGCTTTGGCGACCGTGTCGAGCCACTGGGAGTGCTCGGGGGTGTTGGGGGTGAACTGGTTGAACATGAGTTGGAGGTCTAACCAGGACATGCGCAGAGTCCACTGCTCTAAGTTCTGTCAACAATGATACATTAGAGTCGAATTTTATTATGAATGAAGTAAAGTACTTCTAGAATTCTGCTGATCATGCTCTTCTGGTCCAGTTCTTCGATGCTGCTTCCGGCGTCTGGGTAACAAATCATGTGTAAGAGCCTCTGGGCTTGCGAGTGTGACAACAAGGGGTCGAGTAAGGTGTCAGAGTCGCACAATTCCTCTGGGTGACATAAGCACCGTTCCAGGACCCACTGTTGGGAGCAAATTTCTCTCAACACGTGGCAAGCGAAAGCTGATAAGGAAGCGGTGCTTTCGGCATTTCCGGTGCTCGATTGCCTATAATCAGAAACGATTTGTTTATTTTTATAATTTGAGAAATTAGTTGGGAAATAAGTGAGTCACGTTTATTATCACAATACATTGGTGTGTACGTCTAGGTGGAGAGTTATTTACATGATATAGTACTACCAACTAGTAGCCAACGTTTCTGAGATAAAAATATAGTTTCTCAGTTATTTGTTTTAGAAAATAGTAAACTCAAAAAAGTGTAAATAATAATACTAGTTTTGAAATTTCTTTGTTTAAATCTTCATAGCAAAATCTCATGTTTTTTACTATTTTATAAAGCAAATACGTTGAAACAATTATAGTTAAAATCACTAGAGATTGGTTTATTAGATGTTTGTAAAAACACAATGTGCTATAACCCCCTTAACTATGTCCGAATTAATGGCCATGAACTTTATTTTTGTTTTTAACATAATTACTGTATTGTTTAGGCTTGGTTCTCTGCTTTATATGCATTTTAACAATAAAAAAAAAAATAACTGGTTTTTGAGATCTTCAGCCATATGCAAGATTCTGTTCCTCAAAATGGATTCAGTTAGTTAAATTTTCTTTATGAAACATTAACCACCTGTTTTGTAATGTTAGTAACTGTGATTTCCTATGTGTTACGAATGAAACAAATTTTGTAAATACAAAATTTAAATATAAAATCGTACATCAGATTTTTAATTACATAACTAAGATATATGTTCACTCAAGCACTTATAAAATGCGAAATACTAACCTTGTATGTTTTTTAATAATACTGGGTGTCTGGAAAATGACAGATTAACTCCCCGCTACCCTCTTCAAAGTAAAAAAATCCGTCTCACATTTTGGTGAAGTTATAATGTTCTATTTTTCGAAAATTCAGTCCTGACCTGTTTTTGAGTTAATTTTAAAACAATCTTCAGGTTCTATACTTTGCCTATTTTTCTTTATATTTGTAGTTATCTTCTCACAACAAGAAACTTAAAACATGTTTAAAATGGTAAATTTGTACAGGGAAATATCGATTTTGCAATTACGCTCCGCCCCTCGCTCTGACAACCAATGAAAAATTCATCACGATTGAGATCGAGACAGATGGGTGGAGCTTCTCTTTTGGTTTTCTTTTATGAAACGATTACTTAAGAACATATTTCACATGGTAATTTCTCGTAGAAAAATAAGGATTATACAATTAAGCTCCGCCCCTCGGCTTACGACGAATAAAAAAAACATCAGAATTGAGACAGGGTGGGTGGGCGGGGTTTATATTTTGCTTTTTTTTTCTTAGTATACATAGCTATCTTTTCACAACAAGAAACTTAAAGCATAGTTAAAATATTACATTTTTTCAAAGAAATATGGATTTTGCAATTTAGAAAATTTCAAATTTAAGGGTCTTATAATTCTGACTTGAAGATTTTACTATTCTGGATTCCAGATTCACAGTTTTAGGACTTTAAAAATTTTGATTATTAGGTTTCGTAATTTCAAGTTTTAGAATGTCAAAGTGCGGAATTTAAGGGACTGAGATTTTAAAAATTAAGAATCGCAGAATTTTTATTTCTGGATTTCGGGTTCAAGTGTCAAAATTTTGAGAATCTACAACCTGAGGATTTCGGGAATCACAGATTTAAGATTTCAGCACTTGATTTAGAGTATCATAATTTTAGGATTCTAATAAATGTCCAGATTAGGATTTCAAGATTCAGAATTTCAAGATCATGATTTGTGATTCGGCATTTTAGATTTAAGGTTTCTGGAATCTCATGATTTGGTATTTCTGGATTGCTGCTTCTAGTGTTTAAGTTTTGAAAATTCACAACTTGAGGATTCAGGAATCACAGATTTAGAGTATCATAATTTTAGAATTCCAAATATCCAAATCAGGATTTGAAAATTCAGAATTTCAAAACTATGATTTGTGAATCGGTGTTTTAAGGTTTAGGGTTTTTGAAGTATCAAGATTCAAGACTTGAAGATTTTACTATTCTTTCAGATTCACAGTTTTAGGACTTCAGAATTTAAGGACTAGGATTTTAAAAATTACGAATCGCAGAATTTTGTATTTCTAGATTTCGGGTTCCAGTGTCAAAATTTTGAAAATCCACAACCTGAGGATTTTAGGAATCACAGATTTAAGATTTCAGTACTGTGGATTTAGAGTATCATAATTCTAGGATTCTAAATGTCCAGATTAAGATTTCAAAATTTAGAATTTCAAGATCAAGACTCGTGATTCGGCAATTTAGGATTCAAGGTTTTTGGAATGATGGATTCCAAAATTTCATGATTCTGAATTTCTGGCTTGAAAATTTCAGCATTTGAACTTTCAAGATTCATGACTTGAAGATTTTCCTATTTTAGACACCGGATTCGCAGTTTTAGGGCTTTAGTATTGTGATTCTCGGGTTTTTAAATTTTAATTTCAAGTTTTAGAACGTCAAAGTGCGCGATTTAAGCGACTGAAATTTCAAATTTAAGAATCTCGTGATTTGGTATTTCTGGATTGCTGCTTCTAGTGTTTAAGTTTTGAAAATTCACAACTTGAAGATTCAGGAATCACAGATTTAGAATTTCATGATTATGGATTCAGAGTATCATAATTTTAGAAGTCCAAATAGCCAAGTCAGGATTTGAAAATTCAGAATTTCAAGACTATGATTTGTGAATCGGTGTTTTAAGGTTTAGGGTTTTTGAAGTATCAAGATTCATGACTCGAAGATTTTACTGGATTCCAAATTCACAGTTTTAGGACTTCAGAATTTTGATTATTGGGTTTCGTAATTTCAAGTTTTAGAATTTCAAAGTGCGGAATTTAAGGACTGGAATTTTAAAAGTTAAGAATCGCAGAATTTTGTATTTCTGGATTTCGGGTTCCAGTGTCAAAATTTTGAAAATCCACAACTTGAGGATTTCAGGAATCACAGATTTAAGATTTCAGTACTGTGGATTTAGAGTATCATAATTCTAGGATTCTAAATGTCCAGATTAAGATTTCAAAATTCAAAATTTCAAATTTCAAGATCAAGATTCGTGATTCGGCAATTTAGGATCCAAGGTTTTTGGAATGATGGATTCCAAAATTTCATGATTCTGAATTTCTGGCTTGAAAACTTCAGCATATGAACTTTCAAGATTCATGACTTGAAGATTTTTCTATTTTAGACACCGGATTCGCAGTTTTAGGGCTTTAGTCTTTTGATTCTCGGGTTTTTTACTTTTAATTTCAAGTTTCAGAACGTCAAAGTGCGCGATTTAAGTGACTGAAATTTGAAATTTAAGAATCTCCTGATTTGGTATTTCTGGATTGCTGCTTCTAGTGTTTAAGTTTTGAAAATTCACAACTTGAGGATTCAGGAATCACAGATTTAGAATTTGATGATTATGGATTTAGAGTATCATAATTTTAGAAGTCCAAATATCCAAATCAGGATTTGAAAATTCAGAATTCCAAGACTATGATTTGTGAATCGGTGTTTTAAGGTTTAGGGTTTTTGAAGTATCAAGATTCATGACTCGAAGATTTTACTGGATTCCAAATTCACAGTTTTAGGACTTCAGAATTTTGATTATTAGGTTTCGTAATTTCAAGTTTTAGAATGTCAAAGTGCGGAATTTAAGGGACTGAGATTTTAAAAATTAAGAATCGCAGAATTTTTATTTCTGGATTTCGGGTTCAAGTGTCAAAATTTTGAGAATCTACAACCTGAGGATTTCAGGAATCACTATTAAAGAGTCTAATGATTTGGTATTTCTGGATTGCTGCTTCTAGTGTTTAAGTTTTTAAAATTCACAACTTGAGGATTGAGGAAGCACAGATTTAGAATTTCATGATTATGATTTGTGAATCGGTGTTTTAAGGTAGGGTTTTTGAAGTATCAAGATTCAAGACTTGAAGATTTTGCTGGATTCCAAATTCACAGTTTTAGGACTTCAGAATTTTGATTATTAGGTTTCGTAATTTCAAGTTTTAGAATGTCAAAGTACGGAATTTAAGGGACTGGGATTTTAAAAAATAAGAATCTCAGAATTTTGAATTTCTAGATTTCGGGTTCCACTGTCAAAATTTTGAAAATCCACAACCTGGGGATTTCAGGAATCACAGATTTAAGATTTCAGTACTGTGGATTTAGAGTATCATAATTTTAGGATTCTAAATATCCAGATTAGGATCTCAAAATTTAGAATTTCAAGATCATGATTTGAACTTTCAAAATTCAGATTTTCCTATTTCAAACACCGAATTCGCAGTTTTAGGGTTTTACTCTTGTGATTCTCGGGTTTTTAAATTTCAAGTTTTAAAATGTCAAAGTGCGGGATTTAAGTGATTCGATTTTGCAATTAAGCTCCGCCTCTAGATCTGCCAACGTATGAAAACTTTATTACTATTTAAACCAGAGCAGGTATGGGTGGAGCTTAATCTTTGGCTTTATTTTTTTCTTAGTATACATAGTATTCATTGAACTCAAAAACATGTTTTTAATTTGTCGTAGAGAAATAAGGATTTTGCAGTTTAGCTCCGCCCTCTTGGCTCACGACGAATAAAAAAAATCATCACAATTGAGATAGGGCGGGTGGGCGGGGCTCCATTTTGCCTTTTTTTTTCTTAATATGTGTAGACTTATCACGACAACAAGAAACTTAAAACATGTCTAATCTTCTCTAGTGTTTAATGGGTTTTTCTTTAGTTGGTTTTGTTTTTGTTTATTTATTAATAAAAAATAACAGCTTGTTTTATTAATAATAATGCATCACCATTAATGACTACTTGTTGGTGGGTTATTGTCCTAAATAAAAATAAAAACCCCCGTACATAACGTACTGAAGAGTTAATCCTCCATTTTCCAGACACCCAGTATAATGAATCCGTTCATGAAATTATAGTATACGTTGAAGCCCTATACACTAATGAAACGAGCTATCTATTAGAATTTAAGACAACATGCTTGTGAGCTAAACTTGAGGTTAACATGCACCTTCTACACACAGAGTTGACTAGTAGCGCCCTCTAAGTCGCTTGCAGCCACAATGAAAATGTTTCTTTCACCTCGACATCAACACTGAAAGTATCTTTATTCCACAAAGATAAAGTCTATGGCTTCCCACATTGACAAATGAAAATCCCGCACTTCCAGGCCGCCGCCGCCACCACTCAAACCGCCGCCGCCGCCGCCTAGGAAATGCGGGACGCAACACGCAATTATTCCCACCCAAAACTCGTGCGCCTGAATCACAAAACAAGAATGTGTGCAAGCACAGGTGACACAATCAAAGCAAAGCTTATATTGAATCATCGACAAACCTATGGGCCGTCCTGGAGCCGCAGACCTCCATGTCTACCCTGACAGAACAGAAACAACCAATTTCAAAAACAACAAATCCCGCTAATAAATCAAAAATTTAATAAAAAAATCAAACGGCCGGTTCGGCGACGGAGGGGACTTACGCCAGGTCCAGGGACGGATCGTCACCTCCGCTGAGCAGGTCGCTGGTGCCGAGGATGTGCGAGATGCTGAGCTCGCGCGCGGTGGCGTCGCCGACGATGAGGACGGCCTTGAGCACGGCCAGGACCGGCCCGACGTGGATGTTGCGGTGGGCGGCGGCGAGCAGGTGGCGGTCGCAGCTGAGGCGCACGCCCAAGGGAGGGCGGGGGGCGTTGAGCGGCGGCGAGCCCACGGAGTAGAGGCCGGGCTGGGGGCCCTCGGCGGTGCGGAAGAGGCGCAGGAGGAGGTGGCAGGTGAGGCGCATGCCGCCTTCGGCGGCGCCGCTGCCGTTGTCCAGGCTTTTCACCTTTGAAAGGTTTTATTAAAAATAAGTAAGACACAAACAGGTTTGGGTGTAGATTATATTATAAATTATAAACTGAAAACAATTTAAACTTAAGACACATTTTACATAATCGCTCCTGATTAGTCAGGTCAAGATGGGTTACGTTAGATGAACACGGGTTAAGTCAGGTCAGGTCAAGTCAGGCAACTGATTTTCGAAATATTCGGATTCTAAGTCACTTTTGAAAAATACTTCAAAATTTGTCATTTCATTTTTTTCGTATATTCGACGGTGTTCGGAAAATGTTTAAAAATTTCATCCAAATATATAATGTGTAAAAAAAAGCTGAATCGAAAAATATAATTTGTTTGTCCCAGAGCAAGATTTTTAAAATGTTCGGTTTGATAAATCAGTTTTTACCCTAAAAAATGTCTTCAGAAATAGTAGCAATTTTTGAAAAAGTGAACCCGAAAATAACTTCTAGAAATCGGAGAGTATTGAAAAATCGAGCTTTTGGAAAAACTGCCTAAAATTCCACAAAAAAATTCTAGGATATAAATCTCGACGTGCTAATTCCAGAAATATAATGTGTTTATGGTCCCAGAACTGGGTTTTCGAAATATTTGATTTTTTAAAATCGTAAAAATTGTCTTGTTTCGGCGATTTAGTAACATTTGTAAGAATTTTTAAAGAAATGAAGCAAAAAAAAAACTGAAAATAGAAAATTTTCTTTAGGTAATCTTCGAAAAAAGGTCGAAAATTTCAGTACTGAAAACTTGAGCTTTTCAAAACGTTGGCCAAAAATCCACAAAAAATCTAAATTTCGGCGTACTTATTCCAAAAATATATCGTGTTTATGGTCCCTGATCGAGATTTTCGATCATCAATTTTTTGAAGAATCCTGAAAACTACCATATTTCAGATGGACGACTTTGGAAAAATGGTAAGAATTTTCGAAGAAATGAAACTCAAATTAATTTTGGAGATCGAAATTTATAGAAAAATGAAAAATCTCTTTCGGCAATTTTGAAAGGTGGTCAAAAAACGGTCGAAAATGTCTAAAGCGAGGAGTTTTGAAAAATTGAACTTTTGGAAAAATTACTTAAAAATCTACCAAAAATTTGATTCAATAGTCCATTTTTCTAAATTCTAAAAGTTGCCTAATTTCCATATGAGCGATTCTGGAAACATGGTAAGAATTTTTGAAGAAATGAAGCTGAAAATAAATCCTGGAAGTAGCAATATGTAGAAAAATAAGATAACAAAAAGAGGTCGAAAATTTCATAATATTGAAAAATTGACCAAAAATTCACAAAAAAATCTAAGATATAAATCTCGACGTGCTGATTCCTAAAACATGGCGTGTTTATGGTCCCGGGGAAAGATTTTCAAAATATTCGATTTGATAACTAATTTTTTGAAAAATCGTAAAAATTGTCATATTTTTTATGGACGATTCTGGAAAAATGGTAATAATATTCGAAGAAATGAAGCCGAAAATACACTCTGGGGGTCGTAATCTATAAAAAATCTCTTTAGGCAATTTTCGAACATGGTAAAAAAGTCGAAATTTTCATAAGAATTTTTAATATCGAAAAACTGAGCTTTTGAAAAAGTTGCCTAAAAATCCATAAAAAATTCTGGAATATAAATCTCGACGAGCTGATTCGAAAAACAGCGTTTTAATGGTTCGGGGCCAAGACTGAAGAGACGAACATCGAAAATTCCGGAGCAGTTATAGTATTTTTTTAAGGACGTATTTAGTTCAATTCCCGAAAAAGTGGGTGGGAAAAAATTATGAAAAAAAAATCGCGTTTGACCAAGAATGCTACGTTAGCTAGGAAAATAATTTAAAGCCAAAAAAAAAAAGTAAAATTTGTCAGATTTTATTTTGGCGATACTGGAAAAATGGAAGATATTTTCGAAGAAATGAAAGCCAAATTAATTCTGGAGATCGTAATCTACAGAAAAATGTAAAACCTTTCCAATTTTCAAAGGTTGTCAAAAGAAAGTCGGAAATTTCAGAAGAATTCTTAATATCGAAAAACTGAGCTTTTGACAAAGTTGCCTAAAAATCCATAAAACGCTGTTTTTCGAATCAGCTCGTCGAGATTTATATCTCGACGAGCTGATTCGAAAAACAGCGTTTTAATGGTTCGGGGCCAAGACTGAAGAGACGAACATCGAAAATTCTGGAGCAGTTATAGTATTTTTTTAAGGACGTATTTAGTTCAATTCCCGAAAAAGTGGGTGGGAAAAAATTATGAAAAAAAAATCGCGTTTGACCAAGAATGCTACGTTTGCTAGGAAAATAATTGAAAATCAAAAAAAAAAAAATGTAAAATTTGGCAGATTTTATTTTGGCGATACTGGAAAATTGGAAGATATTTTCGAAGAAATGAAAATGAAAGCCAAATTAATTGTGGAGATCGTAATCTACAGAAAAATGTAAAACCTTTCGGCAATTTTCAAAGGTTGCCAAAAGAAAGTCGGAAATTTCTAAAAATTTCGATTGAAAAACTGAACTTTTGGAAAAAATTACTTAAAAATCCACAAAAAAATTCTAGAATACAGATCTCGACGTGCTGATTCGAGAAATACGGTGTGTTTATGGTCCCAAAGCTGGATTTTCGAAATATTTGGTTTAATAATCCATTTTTCTTAAGATAGTTTTCGAAGGTGGTCGAAAATAGGTCGAAAATTTGATAATGTTGAAAAATTGAGGTTTTGAAAAAGTTGACTAAAAACTCATAAAAGAATCTGGGATATAAATCTCGATGTGCTAATTCCAAAAATGTAGCGTGTTTATGGTGCCGGAGCGAGATTTTCGAAATATTAGGTTTGATAGTCAATTTTGGAAAAATCCTGAAAACTGCCATATTTCATATTACCGACTCTGGAAAAATTATAAGAATTTTCGAAGAAATGGAACTCAAATTAATTTTGGAGACCGTAATCTATAAAAAAATTAAAAAAAAATCGGTAATTTTCAAAGGTGGTCAAAAAGAGTCAAAAATTTCTAAAGGGAGGAGTTTTCCAAAATTGAACTTTTGGAAAAATTACTTAAAAATCCACAAAAAATTCTAGAATATAGATCTCGGGTTGCGGATTAAGTTTATGGTCCAAGATCTGGATTTTCGAAATATTTGGTTTAATAGTCCATTTTTTTTATCCTAAAAATTGCCAAATTTCAAATTTCATATGGGCGATTCTGGAAACATGGTAAGAATTTTTGAAGAAATGAAGCTGAAAATAAATTCCGGAAGTATCTGTAGAAAATAAGATAATTTTCGAAAATTTCATAATATCGAAAAATTCAGATTTTGAAAAAAATTGACTAAACACTTACAAAAAAAATCTAGGATATAAATCTCGACATTCTGATTCCAAAAACATGGCGTGTTTATGGAGCAAGATTTTCGAAATATCCGGGTTGTTAATCAATTTTTTGAAAAATCCTCAAAACTGCCAGATTTCATATGGACGACTCTAAAAAAGTGGTGAAAATTTTCGCAGAAATGAAGCTCAAATTAATTCTGGAGATCGCAATTACAGAAAAATGAAAAACCTTATTCGGCAATTTTCAAGTGGTCAAAAAAAGGTCAAAAATTTGTAAATGGAGGTTTATTGAAAAACTGAACTTTTGGAAAAATTCTTAAAAAATCCACAAAAGATCTAGAATATAATCTTGACGTGCTGATTCGAGAAATATCGTATGTTTATTATAGTCCCAGAGCTGGATTTTCGAAATATTCTAATTGACTTATTTCGGCGATTTTGAAAACATTTTTGAACAATTTTGAAGAAATGAAGCCAAAAAAAGCTAAAAGTAGTAGAAAATTTCTTTACCTAAACTTCGAAGGTGGTCGAAAAAAGGTCGAAAATTTCAGTGTTGAAAACTTGAGCTTTTGAAAACGTTGGTCAAAAATCCACAAATAATCGAAGATATAAATTTCGACGTACGGATTAAAAAATATACCGTGTTTATGGTTCCAGAGTGAGATTTTCGAAATAGTGGGTTTGATGGTCAATTTTTTGAAAAATTCTGAAAATTACCGTTTATATGGGCGACTCTGAAAAAAAATGGCAGGAATTTTCGAAGACATGAAACCCAAATTAATTCTGGAGATCGCAATCTACACAAAAATGGAAAATCTCTTTCGGCAATTTTCAAAATTGATCAAACAAGGTCGAAACTTTCTAAAGGTAGGAGTTTTAAAAAATTGAACTTTTGGAAAAATTACTTAAAAATCCACAAAAAAAAAATTCTAGGAAATAGATCTCGACGTGCTGATTCGAGAAATATCATGTATTTATCGTCCCAGAACTGGGTTTTCGAAATATTCGATTTTTTAAAATCCTAACAATTGTCTTGTTTAGACGATTTTGGAAACATTTATAAGAATTTTTGAAAAAATGAAACTAAAAAAAATCTGGAAGTAGTAAAAAATTGTCTTTAGGTGATCTTCAAAGGTGGTCGAAAAAAAATCGATATTTCAGTGTGGAAAACTCGGACTTTTGAAAACGTTGGGCAAAAATCCACAAAAAATCCAAGATATAAATTTCGACATAGTGATTCCAAAAATATAGCGTGTTTATGGTGCCGGAGCGAGATTTTCGAAATATTGGGTTTGTTGGTAAATTTTTTGAAAAATCCTAAAAACTAACTATATTGCAGATGGATGACTCTGGAAAAAATGGTAAGAATTTTCGAAGAAATGAAGCCCAAATTAATTCTGGAGATCGCAATTACAGGAAAATGAAAAACCTTTTTCGGCAATTTTCAAAGGTGGTCAAAAAAAGGTCAAAAATTTCTAAAGGGGGGTTTATTGAAAAACTGCACTTTTGGAAAAATTACAAAAAAATCCACAAAAAATTCTAGAATATAATCTTGACGTCCTGATTTCAGAAATATAGTGTGTTTATAGTCCCAGAGCTGGATTTTCGAAATATTCGGCTGAAAAATCAATTTTTTTTAATCCTAAAAATTGGCATTTCGTATGGACAATTCTCGAAAAAAT